AGACTGGCAGACATGTAGAGGTGAGGCATGATAGCTTATAGAGATAAGGCAGTTCAAGATGTGATGATGGCGGAGGGAGCTTAAGATGAATTAAATATCCTTGTTTTTTGTATTATAATAAATATCACATTTTCAAGCATTTCTGTGTGTGTTTTGGGTGAGTAGGAAAACTATACAGAAGAAATATGAAGCTTCCCTATAGACCAAATTGTAAACAGGACGTAAGATGGAGTTGATTATAACATTAGATACCATTGCCACACACTTTGTAACATTTTAGGAATTGCAACTTATGTTTTCAGGAAAAGGGAAGGAAAGGGTAAATACAATTTGCTGAAGCATCATGTCCTCTTAGGGGCCTCTGTCCGTCCATAACCACAATATCGATATTAGTGTGTGTGTTTATTTACCTTTTTATGGCTGTTTGTTGTTTTTATACTAGTACAAAAAGACCAGTTTCAATACATTTAATCTTAACTACAATCTTCAATTAAGTACAAAATATGGCATAGGACTTGAATTGTCTAAAAATCACATAAGTAGGACATTTCCTGAATAGATTTAGAATATCAGAGCAGATCAAATGGTATTACTACTATTACTAGAGAAACAACTATTATTTTGTATGTTTTTGTATCGAAATCTATAATCTGAGTTTCTTCCTTTTTGAAATGTTAATATCATAACAACACTACATTATTTTATCTTTCAGATTGACAGTCCTCAATATGGTTTGGAGATGATGACTTTTTGTTTATGAATCAAATATCACAGCGATGGTCATTGACTACTGTACAAGGCTGATTGTATTATGGTTTCGATGATCACATCAGTGGAGCTGTGTCTGTCAGAGGAGCGAGGCCAGAGGGTTCACTCTTGTGCCAGATTCACAGGAAATGATGATATATGAGGAGCCAAGGTGAACTGGTCAAGTGCACTTCTTGCTACTACTGCCATAACACCTGACCTCAGCAGTCTTTCAAAGGCTATTAGAGTTATTCATAAAAAAAAAATCCATTGAGACACTTTATAACCTGTTTCATCTGTTGTTTACATTGTATTTGTTAGACCAGTGAAGAATCACTCAATTAATATGTCACTGCTGTATTAGTCAACTGTTTTATTATTAGTTTATATAAACATTAAAATAGAATGCATGGAGAAACTTTGTTAAGGTATTGGGAGTGTCAGAACATTTTAATCTGCCTTTTCACTTATGAATATGCTGTTTATAGTACATAGCTGTATATAAAACATTTAGTGTTGTAGTATATTTCTATTAGTTTTAGTTAGTAGAAGATATTCTTATAGATATATACCTCCTTTTAGTCAATTAACCAACGCACACAGCATATCTCCATCAAACTAACTACAGTCAAAAGGAACACATCTTCATTTTGTGCACTTTGAAGTTTGCCTTAAATTGATGCAAATACAGTTTAACAAGGGATTGATAGAAAAGAGTCAGTCATATGCCTAGTGATGGACAGTATGGCCCTTCAATTATCATGCAAGATTAACTTCTGTAAGCCCTGTGCCTTTAACCTGGCATGTACACGATAAGAGGTCACGCTCATGCAGGCTCCAGCTACAACAACTTGTAATGGACACTGGCACTGCAAAGATTCCCCCCGAAGGAACATAATAAAGGTTAGTAAGGCTCTATCCTGCTGAAGAAGGCTAAAATATATTGATGATTTATAGTGGATGGTTATCATTAGAGTAACACCAGCAAGATGTGAGCTGTATACAGCTAACACAGCAGTTAAGTTCTCATTAAACTTTTACAGCATTTAACTTAACATTATTATTGCCAAGAAATATAAAAACTAAATACAAGAAGGGATTACTAAAGGATTTATAACACAGATATGCGTGTAAAGTTAATAAATTCCAATGCCCTATTCATTTAAAGCAACTTTACCTTTTCAGCAAATCAGTCATTTTCCTCTATGGTCTAACTAGTCATTCTTTCTGTTGCTGCCAGTATAGCTCAGGATTGTGTTGTTTTAGTTAGCCTAATGGTAAAGCAGTATAGATTACTAACAAACTTTTACCAGTAGTGATCTAGCTGTCAGATTATTTCACTGGATTACTTTTTTAATATTGTTTTGGCAGATGCATTTTTGTTTTGGCTAATGCATTTTTGAAAAAAATTTTGATTTTACTAAACTTTTTTGCTTTTTTTATGTTTGATCTCATGCTCAATATTACTGACTATGCCCTTCTTCCTTTCTATACAAATTTCATTGTTTGTATTCTCACAACTTAAAACAATAAAAATGTGTCTTTTCTAATATTATGGCAATTTAGTTCTAATTAATAATTCTTCATTGTGATTTTTTCTTTTTTTTGTTGTTTTTTGTTAATTGCTGTATTGACTTGATGGCACACTGCTCTATTACAGTTTTGTTTTGAACACTCACTTTCTTGTCTTTTATTAAGCTTGTGTCAGTATAAATCAGCCCTTACACAGCAGCACCTATCATCTCTCAGAGGGCACCACAACACACCAGTCTAGCTTGGGGTAGCAGTAGTTTGGACAAGCCCCGCCCCCTGACAGCTGGTTTATTGTGCGCTGTGCCACTGAAGCGGCCTTGTTTCCTCTGCTTGGCCAGTTCAATAACTAATCTCGATGCAGCCGCCAGCACGAGGCGTTGACAATGAGCAGGTCTCAAACAAATTACATCATGTCACTGGTGAGCTACTGCCAGTTCATGTCAGAAGAAATGGCAAATTCTTAAACTGGAAAACTTCTTTTATTGTGGTAGTGTTCGTTCATATCAGCATTAGCTTTTGAAATGTCAAGTTATTCAGCCTCATGCAGTGTTTTTAAATTGTAGCCTAACCGACACTGGCACCCTGCAGATTTAATCAATAACTGTTGTGCCACTTTTTGCACAAATTTTATAAAAAAAAAAAAATCTGATTATCTAGCTTTAAAGATGGAAAATGGAATAATGAAAAGTATTTTACTGCAAATCTAAACTGGGATAATGAGTTTTTAAATTAAATTATGTCTGTTGATTGATATAATGGTATCTATTAAAAACTATATCTGTGCTGGATGCCCTCAAACAACCCTGACAAACTCTTATCAAAATAGCTAAAAAACAAGTGTTCAATTTGTGCTAAATACCTTGCTTGTTAATAATGAACTATTCTTGTTTTTATATCAGTTTAACTGATCAAAGTTATTAAAAATCACTCTAAAGTACTTGTATCTCCATGGTCTTCTTAACATTGTCAGGCCACACGCACAGCCACTCCCTTTGTCAGATCAAGGCTAATGAACACACTCGTGCTCCTTATAAACACGCGTTTTGGGGTCATAGAAGCATGTGTACTCACTGCTTTCTGGCTGAACACACACGGACAATGGGAGATGTCTGAAGAGCTGAGGCCCGGACCCCAAGGAAAGGCAGATGGTTCTCGGGACCAAGAACTGCATTTTCATTAGCATAAGAAAAGACAGGGGCTGGAGGACACTGGCGGGGAGACAGGTACTCTGATCCTGTTGAAATCAATGGAGGCACTAATCAGAAATCAAATAACTGTCCTCAATCAAAGACAAACTATAATAATTATTTAATAATACAAACATACTCTCTCTATTGTGCTTTGGGCAGTCAAAATAGTTATATATTAAATAAAAAACTAAGATAAAATATCTAAATCATATATGTAGTCATTACTGGTTTGAACCTGCACTTTAAAAAGCAGCACATGCATTTTTCTTTGAAAATAAAACTTAAAGCTTCCAAGGGGCCCATGGTGTTTTCCTTTCAGCTCACTAGAGACATCTTTCACCTAAAAAACATAAACTTTGCTGTTGCCACAGCTGCTGCTTTAAGGCTGGAGCCTCTCTGTGGGTGAAGTCAGTCCAGTGTGTTGTTTTTACTCATTAATCACCAGACTGACACAAACCCACTTTCCCAACTACACTCTTACTGTCCAAACATGTGCTCTGATGGCAAGTTTAAGTGCTATTACAAAAATACAGTTGAATTAACAATCAACTTTATTGCACACAGACTGTGACTAGTCTGTTTTCTGATATAGCCCCGTATTGGCCACAGATAGAAATAAGATTTTTGCATACAAAACAATAATGCAATAAAAGTCAGTGGTGATTGCTTGTTGAGCCCTTTATTAACGTATGAACGAAACAGCCTAATGTAGTAATGATAGGGAATAATTACTGTTACTGTTATTATACAATGGTATATGCATGCTTGGTAAAGAAGTGCAGTAACATTGTGCTATATACCAAACAGATTGTGTGAATTAACTTTGCAGTTTAATGTATGTATTTGTATTTGTCTCCCCCTTGTGGTAATAAACCTAACCGCAGGTAGGACAGACTCCTTCAATATCGATATCATATGAATTAGCTAGGTTCAATGATTGCAAAAAAATATAGATCTATTTAGGGAATACACATAAATAAATTCTGTATTTAAACGCAAAACTAACGAACTAAATGTTCGTTAACCACAGTTTTCTTTCTTCAATAACAATGCCATGTTTGTTAAATGAAAACTCTGCTTAACTTTTTCAAAAATGAACCATCCACCCATGCTTTGTTGGTCCTTGCTGCTAGTGTATGTCGATGTGTTAGTAAGCAATAACTAATCTTACCTTTTTAAACTAATAGGCCTAACTCTTTTTCCTCAGGAGCAGTGAGTGTTCAGGCTCTGTGGGTTGATGAGATCCCCGCCCCATGGCCCTTCCACACAAGTGTGTCCAGAGCGCAGTCCGGATGCGCCGTCATGTCGCCTCTCTCATCTAGTCAAATCATTCATTCACCATTTAGATTCATCTTTAGATCATAGTGGTTTACGAAATACGTGTGTAAGATAATTCGGGGCTTTCTGTTTGTGACAGTGAGCGTGCCGTTGGCCGCAGCTATACGTGGCTGGCGAGAGCGCTAGCTGCGTTAGCATTAGCATTAGCTTTAGCCCAGAAGAGCGAGCGAGCGGCAGTGACAGTCCGAGAGGCGGGGAGAGCAGAGAGGTGAGACTGTTATTTTGATGGTGACAACATTGAAGACTGTATGTGCAAACCATCTGGTAAATAGTATTACTTTCACTAATGTGACAGGACATAAGAGGTGCTCGAGCAGCAGCGCACAGAGGTGGGTAGATACTTGAGTGTTAGTTGGACGCTTTATGGGCAAATTGAAGCAAATGTTAATCGTTTTCTCGACGTTGTTGTATGTGGCCCGCTCAGGAGCTAGTTAGCCTAGCCACAGCTAACCGCACCACCATGGACCAACACAGGGAGTCCCAAACTTTCACACTAGTGATGATAGAAAGAGTTGATGTGGTGCAAGAAAGAGTTATATACATCAATGCACAATGTAGCTTTTTTACACTTTTTAATATATTTTTTTATTACTACTTGTAACTTCTGTTGCAGTTTTTAACAGTTATATTTATTATTGTGACTAATTTGAGCAATTTAAACTCTACCAAGTAACATTTGGTTTTTGTGTATTTTGACATTCTGTGTTGTTTACAGTGTTTTACTTAATTTGTTCTTTATTATTTTCAACATTTTTATTTTGTTGTGTGTTGTCTTTTTCAGACAGAGAACATATATGTCTGTAGGAGCTAGATTGAAGCTTTGAAATGTCTGTGGATGAGGAAACCATCAAAACTGGCAGTCCTCAAGCCAGTTCAGCGTCATCACTCCAGTTATCAGATTGTACTGGAGGTTATGCTAATATTTCTGCAATCGTAGAGGATTCTGTTGCCACACCAGACTTTGCTGCTGCTTGTCCATATCCTGATTCTGCTGCCTCGCCAAAGCACACTAGCACTATGGATGCCCTTACTCAGTCTGAACCTGCCATGCAGAGGGTAAAGGGGAATGACAATAACATTAACCGTAGAAACAGCTTTCATCATTCCAAACAACAGCAACAGTCAAGAATAACAAAGCGTCGCAACACGTCAAGCTTTAGCTTTAAGCACCCAACATCTGGCAAAAGAAGGCGAAGGGCTAACTCTGAGAGTGACTCTGTCCTGCCTACAAACTTTCTTCTGGGCGGAAATATTTTTGACCCACTGAATCTCAACAGTCTCCTGGATGAAGAAGTAAACAAAGCTTTGAACGCAGAGACACCTAAATCCTCCCCACTTCCTGCAAAGAGCCGAGACCCGGTGGAGATCCTCATTCCCAGGGACATTACTGATCCACTCAACCTGAACAGTGGCATTGCAGACAGCAGCTTTTTGGTTTCCCCTTACAAAAGTGGAGGCAAAAAGAGACACCGTAACAGGCATCATGGAGGTAATAGTTGCAGTAGTAATATTTCAGCTTCACTGCCTGATTTAGGGAGAAATGAAGCCAGAACAGGTTCTTGTACACAACATGGTGATGCATTGCCCTCTTCTTCTGTACAAAATGTCTCCAAAGAGGATGGATCCCGAGTATGCGACTCTCATGAACACTTAACTGACTGTTCTGGGAGCTGCAAAGAAGAGACGTCTGTGGACGAGTTCAGCTCTTCTGTGACAGGAACAAATCAGCACACCAGCAAACGCAAAAGAAGGCGCAACTCTGGCAAGATGGACCCTCCAGTTACCCATTCTACTCCTGTTGTAAGGTCTGTCAGCACAGGGCCATCACAATCTTTTTGCACTCCAAAAGGTGGACCCAAAAGTGGTCACGGGGGTCGCCCACATCAACAACCACAGAAGCAGAGAAAGAAGTTTCAGTATGGAAATTACAACAAGTATTATGGCTATCGTAACCCAGGTGCAAGTGAGGACCTTCGCATACGTGTTTAAACCTGAATGGTTTAAGGGAAAAGACATTCTAGATCTCGGCTGCAATGCGGGACACCTCACTCTTTATATTGCCAAAATGTTTCAGCCCGCGCACATATTAGGCCTGGACATAGATGGTGATCTGGTGTATGGAGCCCGAAAGAACATTCGCCATTATCTGTCTGAGCTGCAGACTGAAGAGGCCAGGCGAGCAGTTCAGGAGAAAGGGAGTATTAAAACAGAGGGGAGTGAGGGAGAGCAGAGCCACACAGTCACAGAAAGCACTCACAATGAAGCTGTGGGAAAGACTGAGAACGGGCAGCTGGTGAGAGCGGAGAGTGGCCCTGCAGAGGCTGTAAAAGACAATGACAGTCACACAAGTGCAGTCGGCTGCCAGGGACAGGAGCCCCCTGCTGGCCAGCCGGTCAACTCCACTTTCCCTGTGTCACTGCGCATCTCCAGAGGTCCCATAGCTGCACCTCCACTGACAGAGGTGACCAGTGCCCAGCCTGGACACTTTCCCTCAAATGTGTCATTTGTGAAGGTGAGACACACGTTGCAGTTATGTCAGATTTTTTCACAATTTCTAAAAACATATATATATATAATATATAAATACAAAATGTATGTGTTTTGACTGATCCCCTCTTCTCTTTCAGGCCAATTATGTCTTAGAAAATGACAGCCTTCTTGTGACTCAGAGGCCAGAGTACGATGTTATTCTGTGTCTGAGCGTCACCAAGTGGGTTCACTTGAACTGGGGTGACGAGGGCCTGAAGCGTCTGTTCAAAAGAGCCTACAGACATCTGCGTCCTGGAGGGCTGTTCATCCTGGAGCCTCAGCCTTGGGAGTCCTATGGCCGAAAGAAGAAACTCACTGTAAGCAACACAATGTCATTATGAGATTTATCTAAATCTGTCAACAATGAATGATTCTTTTGGCAAACACTGGTTAATGCATGTCATCATTTTAAAGACTGCTAAGTGCTTAACCGTAAGATTAACGCAATGTGAAAATATTCATTTGTAAACTAAAAGAAACTAAAAGAAAAGTCAGGGTTAGAACATTTTCTACTTGGAAAGAATGGCCCCGCAGAAGATGTTAAAGACTGGGATGGTCAGGCAAAAGCTGGAGATGATATTGTTGTTTGTAATGGCCATTGTATTGCTTTAATTGCCTTTGTAAGTTCCTAATTGTATCCATTAAAATTGGAGCGTGACCAATAAGCCTTTTTTCATAGCTGATGCCGATTTATTTTTAATCCAGTTGATGGCCATTAAGCTCTGCCAATATTTTGAGGGTGATATGATGGGGAGATTCCTCTAAACTATATAATATCAAATTCCTATTACTGTTTACACAGTACTTAAGATAAGAAAGGTACGACGATGTCTTCAGTAGAATTGGTTTTAAAAGCAAAACTGCTTTTTTCTCTACAGGAAAATACTTACAGAAATTACCGCAATATCAGCCTGAAACCCGAGCAGTTTACATCCTATCTGACTAGTGAGGTGGGATTCACAAGTTATGAGTACCTTGGAGCCCCCAAATCTATTGTCAAAGGTAATACAGCCTTTTCACATTTTATATATTTATCTCTCACTCTCTGTACTCTCTACTCTTTCTCTCTACTCTCTCTCTCTCCACTGTCTAACTGTCAATGTTGAATTTGTTTTCTCCTCTCATTTCAGGTTTTCAGAGGCCTATTTACTTGTTCCACAAATGACTTCTCTGCCTTGAGGACTTGAATGTGAAGAGGCTTTGTCACCATCATACAGTCCATCCAGCCAAGGCCAAGCCACTACAAACACATGAGTTAAATGACTGCACTCAGAAGATAAAATTCATAACAAAAGTGGGACCATGTGTGCATGAAGAAGAGAAAGAGAGAGATTTTGGTGTAATATAAAATGACCGAGACAAGCCGAACATAGACATTTGACAAACTGCAAAAGCTTTCTCCTCTTAAGATTTTGTTGTACTCTGTCAGTGCTGATAATGTCAAAACCAGAATGTCAGGGTATCTTCACAGCTGTACTGCGTTCTCTTCTTCGTGATCTTTTGTTTGTATAACATTGTCAACAGGTGCGCAGGCTTTTAATGCCTTTTAAATTCACCACAAACGGTTATCCGGTCATTCTGTCTCAAATTCACCCAACCTTAGGCTGTACATTTAAAAAACAAAATAATTCATGTAAACATGTACAATAACGAACAAACGTATTGGAAACAGGTCACATCTTCTTTAAACACAGCAGATAATCAAATAATTTCATTGCTAAGAGAAAGCTGGAAGCCTTGGCTCTTTTGTGGTGCAGGCTGAAGATATTAAGTGTGAAATCCAAGAAGCATTGACTTCTTACAGTATCAGTTGCACTTTCTTTGTGAGCTTTGTATGGTCTAATATTGCACTGACTGATGATATTTTTATATCTGGAAATGGAGGCAGTAATGCAAACAGTTTTGGATTGCATTTAGTAATTTGTCAAAATAATATGACTTTTGGAGGAACTATGAAATTACATTTTATCATTTTTATAAAATGAAAAGTAATGACATTTTATTAAATGTAACGGAGCTGTTTGTATTAAAGCATTAGAAAGTATTCCAGATTCTCCCGCACGTCCTCTTCAAGGACAAAAAGTTCTGGTGTAGTAGTTCTTGTGACTCTTTGTGATTGTACTGCACATTTCTGTTGAAAATGGGGCGATTGGGTTAAAAGTATCCTTTGGGTAAATGATGGCATATGGTATATGGTGTATGCTTTTTAGTGATCTATGTAAATATGTTGCTTTTCTTTTTTAAGTTTATAATTTCTTATTTCCCAAAAGTATTTTTTTATTTTGAGATTTTCTTGAAAATTCTATTCAAGGTATGAAAAGAGTATGTGAACAGCAATTATAAGTTGTGCTTGTTTTTGTCTGGCAGATGTTAAGTTATTAGATTAGTTCTATGCGTTTTATAAAATGTTTCAAAAATGTGATGCGACACACATTTAACATAAAAAACTGTTTTATTACTATTTTATGATGTTTTGTAAAGAAATTATACTCTTCCTGCTCATTTAGTAGATAATTTGAAAATGGCACTAAATGGCCATTGTCATTATTACATAAGACAATCAGAGTCTCAGGCTTAGTACTGATTTCCAATGATCATCAGTTAAAAGATTTTGATTTTGCCTTTTGAAAATGATAGTTTCAAAGTTTACTTAGAAAGGAATAATCATTGGTCAGCATGTCCACATTTTTGAAACATTTATTTTTTGATGTGTAAAGTTCAAAACACCTTGAGACAGAAAATTTGAGCAGGTCTGTTAAAATAGTTGATATCAATTTAATGTTCATTTCATGTAATCCTTGTTCTGTTGGACATGGGTTAACATATTTTGGGACTTTATTTGATTTACTGTCAGTGAAATTCATTGTAGAGCTCTTATAAGGGAGCTAAGATTACTTACATTGTTAAAATTGTTTTTGGAGATAAAACATTTTTGCCATGCTTTCAGCTGCTGCTTATTCTTTTTGTCCAGGATCAGTACTAAAAGGGAAGAAGCAACTTATTTCAGCTGTTCTAGTCCCAGTCTTTCTTTGTTTTTTCCCATTTGTTTTGTGAGGATATAGGAGCTTGGTGTCAACACATTAGTGGTGTTTGGTCACAGCCAGTGCATTGAATAGTACAAAGATTTCCCAGCTGACAATGTGGAGCACAATACAGTGACTCTGTTTACAAATAGCATTCATACCTCAAACACCTATTGGCCCAGGATGGTCTTCAGACTCTACTCCTTTTTGCACTAAATGTTTTACAGTAAGTGTTTTATAATATTAAAATATATGCTGAATGGATAAATTAATCAAACTTCATGCCCCACATTCTACATTGGCAGACCAGACTATGTGTTTTTGACATGACATCAGTTTTGATGACTGGTGGGTGCATAGACCTGGCTTACACAATGTGGTCCAGACAGATAGTCTAGTGCAGAGATGACATAAACAGAGCAGAGACATCATTCACATTTCATTCACAAAGCCTCTGTACCATCACAGCTGTTTGGGTCAGTCACTTGACCATCATTGTCTCCCAGGACAGTGCAGTGTGCAAGCATGCCAAACCCAATACAGCTCCCCTGATTTACCTATACACCTAGAGAGAACACAACTATGCTAAGAGACAGCCCAACATAATAGAAATGAAGACATGCAAACTGTAAATGTTCACCAATTTATTTGAGGTGTGTTTGGCAGAGCCTATTGATCATGAGCTTCATCTTGAGCCGCATCACCATCCCTCGAGGCTTTTAGGCGCGTATGGCACAGCACCTAAGTAAATGATGTGGACATTTTTAAATCCACCTTGACTGGGTAGAAGAATCTGCTCTACCTGTATCTGCGAGGGCAACCGTGATGACCAACAAAGTACTCCTGAGCATAACAGAACCGTCTGCAGAGTCCTCTATACCCACAAGTCCAATACTGCATCTCTGGATCAGTACCTGCAGATACACAGATATTAGAATAACAGAAATGTTGACTGAACCAAATATTCACTTTCTGGTTATTGTTTAGTGTTGCTTAATATTGCTTTGTTCAAACTGATTCACAGTGTCATATATATTGCTTACCCTCCCCATCTGGCATCATCAGAAGAAGCACAAGGAGAACAAAGCTTAGTCCTTTCATGTTGGGCTACATAAAGCTTTTAGACTTGCTGCTGGAATGGCAGGCTCATGCTGCATTTATACACCTTTCAAATGGGGGAGGAGTCCATGCCTCTGTCTCAATGACAATAACAAACTAACAAACACAAATCACTGGATGGCTGGCTCTGTTGTTATTACATCATGCACATATCATAAAACACATGCATTTCAGAGAAAAAAGTCAAACCCAACAGTGGAAGTATGTTTTTTAGGTAACAACGTGTAATAAAAGGGCCAACAGCCCAGGTGTAATAATAGCCTACACTGTGCGCAGATTTGTTTATAATACAATTGTTATCGTTGAAGGAATCGGTTTGTTAAAGGGAGAGTGAAAGTAAACCATCAGCTCTCTAAACTTCGATGAACACATGACGCTTCTGCTTGTGATTCTGTGCGCATGCGCAGACTGCTGCGCCCAGCTCAACAAAAGTGGTGGGTCGACCGACCTGCTTTATCCCCAAGATGGCGGACCTTCTAGGCTCGATCTTAAACTCGATGGAAAAACCTCCTACAGTCGGCGATAAAGAAAGCCGACGAAAGGCCAGAGGTAATTCCCAGCTACATAAATAAGGGCTTAAATAGATGACTGCTGCAAGGAACTAAGGTACCAGGAAGCACGGCCATTGACCAGCTGAGCTAAAGTAAACTCCGCACTGGCACCCGGGGATGTCCTGTAGACTTAGGACATAGTAACATACACAACAATGAATCTTCTATTACAAGATGCACTTAGCTACTGCTACCCTTCATAACCAGATATTCCCTAGTCGATTGGATTGTAAAACAGATAGATAAAATCTAAAACAGGCTTCCAGTGGCCTCTATATGAGAAAATATGTAGACTATAATAATATGTAGACTAAGTATCAGTAGCCAATCGTACATGGTTGTCTAATTTTAAATACTGGGGACAAATCCCACTGTACTTATGAAACTGTACTTATGAAACGTGAGCATTTCTTTATTACTGTGTAATGTGTTTATGATGTTCACATTTTTGGTTAAAGAACAAGCTGCTAAACTAAAGAAAATGGAGGAAGACGAAAAAAGAAAGAAAGCAGAGTTCAGGAAAAAAGTAAGTAGCAAAATTAATCTTAAAATGGGGGAAGTTGGGGTAATTCATATCCCACTTTCCCATGTCTGTTGCGTAAATGTTGTTGACAAAACATCATCTTCCTGCCAGCAGCCACATGAATGCCAATCTGTCCCATGGCATTGATAGGTGTAGTAAATTACTACTGTGTGACTGAGAAATTAATGATTTATGAAATTATTGATGTAGTATTTGTTTCTCATTTCAGATGGAAAAAGAAGTGTCTGATTTTATTCAAGACAGTACACAACAAAAGCGAAAGTACAACCCTATGGGTAAAATAGAAAGAAGTATCCTGTAAGTAAATGTTACCTTGACTTATAGTGGGTTTCTAGAATCTTGTGTCAGTGCTGTTTTCTTGTAGGCATGATGTGGCAGAAGTGGCCGGGCTGACCTCTTTTTCATTTGGGGAAGACGAGGAGAGTCGATATGTTATGCTTTTTAAGAAGGTTTGAATAACTATTGTAAAACATGGCTTTAATCTAGGGACGATATTCATAATCATATGCTGTTTGTACTGTGCAGGAGTTTGCCCCTTCAGATGAGGAATTAGAGGCATATCGCAAAGGAGAGGAATGGGACCCAAAATTAGCAGAGCAACGCCGAAGACTAAAGGTAGAGTTGCTGATATGGCAAAAAGATTAATCACTATTCTACCCTCATATTGGTCAATCTTGATTTTTCATTTTCATTTCCTCTTTTAAAACAAACAAACAAACAAGCAAATAAAAACAGCTTTCAATATTGATTTTGTGAACAAAAACAAGACTGGCTTTTAACAGGCTTGTGTCCTTACATTACATTACATTATAACATCTGAAGTTACTTGCAGAACTCTCAGTTCAAATAGACATGACTGTATCTCCACCTTGAAAATTCTGTGAATTGCACAGCCCTATTTTGCCAAACTTGGAGGCACTAGTTACATGTTATTATGTTTTTCTTAGTTTATTTGTCTTTCTTTCTTTATGTATTTAGATGCAGATACACAAACCAAAACTTTCATAAAACATTTTAAGAATATTCAATTCAAAAAGTTTATTGTCAAATTTCCAAATAAACATATGAAAATTTGTAATTGCATTCTCACTCTCAGTCTTCTAAATTAAATAATAATAAAATAAAAAGAAAAGTCCAAAGTGCTTCTTTAGGGAGACACAGATTCCTAGCTTCCTGGCCACCTGGTGGTTAGAGAGGGAAGATAGTTCAGCATCCTAACACCCTGGTGGATGAAGCTGTTATTGAGTCCGGTGATATGGGAACGGAGGCCCCTGTACCACCTCCTGGAGGGCAGAAGGCTGTACAGATTGTGTGCAGGGTGAAAGAATGCTCTCAGTGGTTCCTCTGTAGAATGCGGTCATGATGGATGGTGATACATTTTCTCGCCTGAGTAGGAGGAAGTAGCAGCGCTGCTGGGCTTTCTTCACCAGTGATTGTAGTGTTGATGGTCCAGGAGAAGTCCTCACTGATGTGAGGAATTTAGTGCTCTCTGAACAGCAGCATCGTCAATGGTCAGCATAGCAGTATAAAGTTAACTATTTATTTTACCTGTCAACAGGAGCAAGCAGCATTAGAAGAAGTTGAGGCCCAAAGGTCTGAGAAGTCAGAAACATGCCCCAACTCCAACTACAGAGATAAATACAGTCACCTTATTGGCACTTCAGCAGCCAAAGATGCAGCTCACACGCTAGAGGCCAACAGAGCTTATGGCTGCGGTAAGTATTTGCAAATGAATCAATCAGTTAATTACATATCATTCAGGAGGCTAACTTTTTATTCTTGCATACAGTACCAGTAGCAAACAAGAGAGACACACGCTCCATTGAAGAAGCCATGAATGAAATCCGAGCAAAGAAACGGCAAAGACGAGAAGATGACCCTGGGGCACAAAGTAGCACCTCCTGAGACAACACTGTGGCTCACTTGTCCTGCTGTGTGTGTGTGTGCGTGTGTGTGTGTGAGGTTGCCTCGTCTGCAGTAGTCATTCATTCTAACTTATGTGACAGTCGTTAGTGGGGAATTCTCAGGTGGCACAATTTTAACTGTGGGTTACATTTATATGTGGCTGTCTTTCATTAACCAGTTTTAACATTCACTCTCTAGTCCTCATACTAATGTGGTCATAGGAAGTATTTGGACATTTAGTATTATGTTATTTTTTTAAAGGGTTTTATGACAATGGTTTTAGTCTAATACCATGATGCATTGTGTAAATAAAACCCTAAGATTTTAGGCATAGTGTTAAGCAATTTTAAAGCCCATTTTTATGATCAGACTTTACAGAAGGCTGTCATTAAGTGTATTAATGATCTGTCGATATTGATCTGTTACAGTATTGTTAAAATAAAATTGACACAGTCTATGGTTGAAAGCCACACCATATCTTGCAGTAGGAATATTATTAAATTATTGAAAATGTTGCACATTTAAGCAGTTGTTGCCATTTAGATTTAATAAAGCAATCCGAACGCATTTGTCATGTTGTCTAAACCTTTTTTTTTTTTTTTTTTTTTACGAAGAATAAAAAATACGTATGTTATGGCTATAACTTGAAGTTTAACACCGGAAGTTGATTTGGTAACCCGGAAAAGCCTGCTTCTCCTGTATCCAGTTTATTGTGCGTCAGCAAGAGTTCTTTGAGCTTATTTCCAAAGTAGTAAAAGAGTAAAACAGTGTTCTTTAAGTAATGATCTGAAGGCCTCGGCGTGACTGTGATGTTACCATGAGCTCCTCGGTTTGCCTGCACGCGGAGCTCGCTGCGGTCATCGAGAGACTGGTGCTCGCGGCTGTGACGGAGCTCCAAAGACTCACAAAGCGCGAGGAGGAGGAGGTGAAACGACTGGATACAGACACCCAACAACACACCATGGTAAAATACACAAGCGTGCAAAAATTGATTGTTTATTAGACACACGAAATTTCAATGTTCTGAAATGCATTTAGCATTTGAGAGTTTAAAAAAATACCTCGTTCTAATAAAATAAACAGAAGCTAACAGGTTAATGCCTTACTTACTCGGAAACGTGTGCTGCTATTATTTATTCATAATGTGATCAATGTGCAACACTCTGGTCTAGGTGCAGTTTGCCTCAGTGATGGAGACTCTGGGCAATGAGGCTTTGGGGAAAATCCTCAGTATTTTGGACACAGTCGCAGTAGAACTAAAACTGGACAAACTAAACAATCCACCTCCAACAAAATCCCATGTTCTCTACATCCTTCAGGGCTCCAGGGTGGGTGAGTAATAATACATTTAAGTAATACATTTTAATACATTTTAAGTAAATAAATACTTAATATTTGTCATGTTTCAATTTAAAAGACAATACAGAGAAAAAAAATAAAAAATTGCATGATAGGAATTGCCCATTGAATGAAAACTGTATTATTATTTATCAGTCTCCAGTAAAGACTAACTTGATGTGTGCCATTTTGTTCAGGGGTTGAACATTCATATGGTGCAGGTGACAACATGAGCAGGGGCCAGCCCATTATTGAAGACCACTGCTATGGAACAAATGACAAGACAACTGACAAAGATCTGCCCTCTCAAGAGTGTCTGCTATTAGAGGAACAAGGCTGTGCCAATGCAGAGGTTACTCCTGCCATAAGTGTTCAAGACAAATCGGAAAACAGGAGCCTCACTGCTGTTGGTAAAAGTAAGTAAAGCATCACATAGTTTGTGTTTGTGGAACTGGTCAAAATGAGCATATGAGCGTGGTTTGCATCCTTTTGTTCCTTGAATCCAGTGGATCCAAAGACAAGCATCACAATATACAAATACAATGTTTTGGTGCTCATACATTAAAGAAGTCAAAAGAAAAATAAACTTTGAACTTAAAGAATGTGTGAAGTTACAAATGTAGCTGATAATCAAACCAGTTTTTTTTTTAGTCCCGATTCAGATAATCAGTTTATCAATTTGTAAACATACAGAGTGAAAGAAAAATATTTCTTTACTGGTCCTTTTAAGTTTTTAAGTAAATGCCAAAAACACTTTTTTCTACTGAATAGCTATGTAAAGGGGTCTAAAATAGAAATGTATACCTATCCCTGGCATTATTTTGGCATTTTTGTGCATATTTGTTAAAAATCTGACTTTTGGGTCAAATGCCATGTCTGTATCGGCCTCTTTAGCATCAACTATGGCCAGTACATTTGAATTTTGGTTGGACTAACAGCCACCAATGAGTCAGATGTTGGGTTATTACGTGAAAAGCACAGCCACTGGCAGTCTACGGACAGTACGTGAGCAGCCCCTCTCAGCCCCACCTGATGTCGATGTCCCGCTGTGTCTGGAGAAAAGGGAAACTGCGTGATCCAAGCACAACTGTCTGCTCCCTTTCAAAGTCTGGAGCGCACCGGCCCATGCCATCTTGAGTTGTTGTGGCTGTCAGTTAGCTGTCAATGATAGCTCCAGAGCCTGCCCCACACCTGCTCCCCCCAACCCGCCAGGCACTGTCCACTCTGGAGGATTTTTCAGATTTTGCTTAGGGGCGGAGTAAAGTTTCAGGCTTAATGGCTCTTTAATGGTGTGACATTTTTAAGCAAATGCCAAAATCTATCTTCCCCATTATAATTATATAATTTAATCGACTGTGTGCTTTTCAGCTTTTCGGGCTTTGCTCTTCTTTTTGGGGTTGAGTCCTTTACTTGTGCGTTTTCTTTGTTTCAGAGAGGACACACTCAAACAAGACAAAGCTCTGTAAATCTAAGATTAAACCACAGGACACATGTTCTCAAAGAGATTCAGACATGTCTGAATACCTCATTGAAGACCGGTCAGAGGAAGAGCCAGTCAATCTCATCAGCAAAATCAAATGTGAAAATGAGGATTCTAGTTTAGAAAGTGAGTCTTAATTTCTTCAGTGTAAAAAGTCTGTCTGTGCTATTATTTTCATAGTTACTATGTAATTACTATTTACTATAGGTTCTAATATAATCCTTGTATTTTGCAGGAGCTGAAGAGATGCATGACTCTGTGAGATCAAGTCCTGAAACCTTTACTTTAGCCCATAGCTCCTCATCTTTTGTACTCAAGACATGGTGCTTCAACTGCACCATCTGTGGCATAGACTTCAGCAGCGAGTTTGCTTTCAGAGTGCATATGTCTTCTCACACAGTGGACAAGCCCTTTAAATGTCCGACATGTGACAGCAGTTTCAATAAGGCCAACTCCTTAAAGATGCACATGTACAAACACACAGGAGATTACCCCTTTAAGTGCCCAGAGTGTGGGAAGGGCTATGCTGACAAAGACAAGCTGAAGGGACACCTGAGCATCCACACTGGGCAGAAGCCCTTCGCCTGTAAGGTCTGTGGAAACACCTTCACAGCCAAGACCAACCTGCACCGCCACATGCGCTCGCATTCTGGCACCAAGCCATACACATGCTCCGAGTGTGGGCGGGGCTTCACACGCTCTCGGACTCTCAAAGATCATATGACTGTTCACTCTGGGGTTCACCCATTCAAATGCTCTTTCTGCAACCGTTCCTTCAACCATAAAGTGAATCTGATAGTCCATGAGCGCATCCACACAGGTGAGCGTCCCTATGTCTGCTCATTGTGCTCTAAAGCCTTTCGCACCACAGTGGCTCTGCATGTTCACCAGCGCGTGCACACAGGAGAAAAGCCCTATATTTGTGATGTGTGTGGCCGGGCTTTCAGCCAGCAGAGCAGTCTGTGTGTCCACAAACGCGTGCATTTAAATGAGCGCAGCTACATCTGCCACACCTGCAACAAGAGCTTCAACAACCCCCAGAACCTGAAGCTGCACGTGCGTGTGCACAGCGGTGAGAGGCCTTATGTGTGTGAGCTGTGTGACAAAACCTTTGTGCAGAATGCACACTTGCGCACACACACGATGCACATGCACTCAGGAGTGAAGCAATGTATGTGTGAACACTGTGGTAAAGTGTATGCTGACAGACGCACACTCCGAGTGCATAAGTGTGTGTACAAATGACCCTGTGAACAGCAGAGACAGATGAGGTGCTGAAAACATCTAATAAACTTATTTAAATGAAAAAAAATCTCTCAGGGATTTACACAAATTGTATTTGTTTACAAATGTTATTTTGGAGTTTTAAATGCATTACAATGTTTGTTAAAAGATGGCATTATTTGGAGCTTTAAGTGTCTTGTACAGGTTTTTCAATTTAGGAAATAAAGAAAAAAATATATAAAGTAAAAAGAAAATATTTTGAACATTATATTTTTTATCCAATTCCCATTTTGTGTTGCATTCCATTGTTTCATAGCCTGCTGTATTTGTTAATCTGTTATGAGAAGGATTTTGTTTATTTAACTTGAGTTTACCACTGTAAACGTTACCTACTTGCACTTGCTTCGCCTTTAGGGGGCGTTGACGCACAGAAGATTACAGACCTACGCTGTATTGTGCTTTTTGCGGCTCTCAAAGTTTGTGTCCCGCAGATATCCGTTTATGGAACCTTGCAGACACTGTCACGCACATGTAAAACATGAAGCCAGCGTTTCTTTTCTTGTTCATCATTTGGTTTGCAGATGCTGAATTAAAACCACGGAAAGGTAGGACTACCGGCTTCTGTTACTATCAGATTATATAATTGATTACCTAAGTAAAGCTGATCACATCTTTGAGTTTAACTGTCTTGACTGTTTGATGTAGTTTGGAAACATTTTGTTGTAGCGACTGTTTTACCCCTTCACAATAATTCAATATGTCTGAAATTGTTGCGTAAAATATTGTACTCTGTTGACGCACAGGTCGTGGAGTCGTTTGCACTTTTAAAAACAAGACTTACAATCTGGGGGACAGTTGGCACCCGTATTTGGAGCCGTTTGGATTAATGTATTGTATGAGATGTGTCTGCGCTGAGGTACACTTCAGTTTTATGAGTTTGTTAAAAGACAAATGTCACGAGCGCTGACTGCAGTTTGTCTGCTTTAGACGGGACATGTGAAATGTAGCACAATCAGGTGTCCGGCTCCGTCCTGTGATAACCCTGTGGTGCAGCCACAGCAGTGTTGCCCCAGGTGCACAGGTAAGTTTCGACTCTGCTGCAGAAGTCAGAAGGTTTTGCCCTGCCCATTGGATAACCGACTGTAAACAGATCTGGGCAAAGTCATAAAGTCCTAAATGTGGCATATATATTTTTTGTCAAATGAAATATTTTGAAGAAGATAATGTAGGTCTACAGGAGTAGCTTTGGAATTTTTAAAAATCTGGAAAATATATCATTTTACTATAGATATGAATTTATTTTTTTCCAAATTTTTTCTAATTGTATCAGGATAAAAATATTGTTGAAAGCCGATCTCTGTTTCAAAGTGCTGAGCCAATGCAACACATTTTTGAATAAGTTGTATTGTATTCATGTATATTTAAATGAAGTCCATTATGTTCAAAACAATCACATAAACATCAGTAAACCATAACCACTCAGGTGCTTGTGTCTCCTTAGATGAGCCAAAGTTCCCCGCTGCTCTCAGGGCCTCCGTGAAAACTTGCCGCTATAACGGGACCATTTACCAACCAGGAGAGAGTTTCACCAAACAGGACCTGTTCCCTTCCAGACACAGGAACCAGTGTGTCCTGTGCACCTGCTCTGTAAGTCCTTTCAACTGGTTGTACTGAATTATAAAAATATAAAAAATATATATATAAATCAGAGCACGGTATGTTGCCATTGTGAAAATTCACAAACTAGGAATTTGATTTGGCAGTGTGATGTCACATAAAACAAAGAATTATAATTGCAAAATAGTAAAATGACAATTTCAATATTTATTTCAATGTGTCCACTACAATTGGGAAATGCTTTAATTGACACTTCAAACTTTCTTCAGAATGGGAACATCTTCTGTGGCCTGAAGACGTGTCCGCTGGTCCCCTGCTCCTCCCCTGTGCCAGCTCCAGACACCTGCTGCCTGCTGTGTAAAGGTACTGCAGATCGCTCACTGCTTAACCACACACATCTGCTCCTCATAGTCATAACCTGGGCTCCTGTGTTTATGGTCCCTCTCAGATCACAGTGGCTCTGCGTCCAGTGAAGACGGAAACCAACAACTCAACCGAGGCGTTGTATGTTTCCTATGTTTGTCTTCTCTATTATGATTGGTATTTTTTATCATCATGGTATTTATTTTTTCAAATATGTGTGAGGATGAGGCATCAGAAAGAGGAGGCTTTCAGGTTTGGTGATTTATGTTGGTGTGTCAGAGCTGTAAAAGTTTATGGTGAGGACAGATGATGGCTCCTCTTCTAACCCTCTCACTCTGGAGTGAAAGTAAAGCCCACTCTGAGCTAACTGTTTATTGTGCCCTCACAAAGAGGCATTCTGTGGACCAGTGTCCAGGAGAGCAGACCCGGATGTGGCCAGACCGTGCCACTGTGCCCAGGGTCAGGACTTCTCCTCAAAGTCTGAGTAAACTCAACCTCAAAGGGGCCTCGGAGACCACCGTGAAGATCCTGCTGCAGCGGAAACACCAAAGAGGTGAGACTTCGTCAAAACACGCAGTTTACAAAGGGCCGCTTTATAGACATTTGATTTTATGGACATGTTCCTCACAATTATTGTTTCCATATGCAGCACACTCAGCTGTTTCCCATTTTTCACAGCTTGTTTGTACAATGGAAAGACGTACTCGCATGGAGACATTTGGCACCCAGTTTTGGGGAAGGTCCTGGAATGTATCCTGTGCACTTGTACAGACGGCCTCCAGGACTGTAAACGCATCACGTGTCCCAGCCAGTATCCATGCAAGCATCCCACAAAATCACCAGGAAAGTGTTGCAAGACATGCCCAGGTGGGTTTCCACCACCTAGACATGTGTCTTTGCCAAAATAATGTTGGCTGAAATATTCTAAATATTCTATCTTACCCTTAGAGACTAGAGCGGCAAGCAACCAGACGCAGTGCCACATGGGACATAGAAGCACTATCCTGGTTTATAAAGTGGAGTCTCCTTTAAATGTGGACAATCCAGAAAGAATGAAGATCATTGCAGCAGAAAGGCAGAGTGAAGTAGAGGTGCTGATGTGGAGGAGTGTAGAAGGTACCAATGTCAAACAAAGATTAGAAAAACTAATGAACCATAACATAAGAACAGTCTAATCGCAGCCACTTATGTAAGAATCACTTTAGACAGAGCTGGGCTATGGCCAAAAAATAAATTTAGATTAGTTTTTGCACATTTTGAATAATGGCAATTTTAATCAAAGTCGCTGCTAGTCTTTCAAACTAGGGAAGCTCATGGCATTTTAATTCATAACCATTTCCACCTTTACTCATTAAATTGCTAAGTCAATAATATAGTTTGCATAGCCTGTATTTATGTCATTGTAATGTTAGACTGATAAATGTTTTTCTTTGTTTAAAACTTCCTTCAGGGGTCTTACAGCTAATGGAGATGGAGGATGTTCAAAGAAAAGATATAAAGGATCATCCAAAAAATCATACACTGCTGACGACAATCAACGAAGGTTAGACACTTCTTATGTCATCTTTATTTATTCACTGCATTTAAAGCCTTATATGAATGCCTCGATGTATTTCAGAGACATGGAGAAGATTCAAGGAAGAAGCAAGAAATCTGAGTAAAGCCTCTCAGACTGTATTGTGTGTTGATGGGATACTGGAGATTGTTAAGTATTTAAACCCGAGGCAGACTGAAGGATTGTGTTCACCATAACATCACTTGACCACCGTTTCTGGTTAAATACAGCCCTTGCCGAGTGTGGACAGTTATGGCCATATGTTTTGAATGTAAAATTGTATGTATTGAATATTTATTGCAAGAAAGTTGATACCTAATTTAAAGGTTTTTCATTCTGGGAGTGATATTGCCTCAGATTACAAAGTCTTAAAATTAAAAATGGAGATCTACTGTGGCTATTTTTATACAGCCACTGTTGTTGTAACTAGTCCAGTGGGAATTTTATTTCACATTCCTGAAATATCTTGTAATGAAAGTGGAAGTTGTGCTAAAAACTAAGAAGTATTGAGTCAATGTAGGCTTACTTTGCTATACTCAGATTTTGTCATAGCGCAGCACTCAGACGGGACGGACTGATAAACTTGAGTTTCCACTGGAGATGAAATGTCATAGTGATCAAATCAAAAACAGAAGTGTGGCATCATTCTACAATTATGTGCTTTACTGGAATACGATTGCATACAAGAAACGCTTCGACTTCTCCATATTTTTTTTGTTTGTTTTATTAGTTTTGATTGGTAACTTAAGACATTTGTTTTAAAATATTCATGTTTTTCCTAAAGTTAGGATTCTATGCCTAGTAACACTATAGTGGTCTTAACAGTGTGATAAACTATTGCTGATGCCAAAATTAGAAATACAAGTTTCACATATTATTTTATTATATCTCTTTACATAGATTCAAAAAGGGATGTTTATACCCTTATATACACCATAAGAGTTTTTTTTCTAACTTTGAAGGTAGCATCCCTCACAACTGAATTTGCCATATGTGTTGATATAAATGCACATATGGAGTATAAAAACACTGAACAGTGTGACATGTGTCAGCCTCGATGGCCTGATCATTGTGTTTGAGTGATTTTGTGTAAATTCCTCCTTGAGTCCTTTCGCCCTCTTCTAGAGGGTCACTGCTGCCAATCTAAATGAAACATTTACTGTAAACACGGACTTAGACACAGATTTGTGGTGGCCCTGTGTCTCTGTGTAAGGGACAGAACCAGTTGGTGTACTTGTGATTCTTGTGTGATTTTGCCTGGCTCCAGCTTTGGCTCAGACCTGGAACATCTGGGTGCAGGGAGTCACAATAAATCTGCCTCAAATGAGATGAGGGCACAGCTCAGATAGGAGACACCTCTGAATCAAGATGGGACTGTAGGAGAATCAACAAAAACATCAAATCTGCCCTTTGTTCTTTTACAATGATCAGATCCTTCAAATATACTTCACTAAAATGATCGTTCCCCATAATAAAACTCTCATCAAAACATTTTAATTAACTATTGTTCAATATTATTGCACATTTTAATTATCTATCTCATTATAAACACAGTAAATAGACAAATTCACCACTGGAGTCACTTCACTGATGTTTTGAGCACATGATGAGCAGTGTGGCTCTGTGGTTTGGAGAGCTCAGAGGTCACAGTGGGTTTGGCTTAATTAAGCCTGATAGCTGTGTTTGCTTTCTTAGCTGATTAAGGCGCTCGACTGAACTTCAGTTTATACTTCATCAAAATACTTCCGAAATCTATCGAGACCTGAGCTATTCACAAACATGGCCTCTCGTTCATGATAATTGCTCTGATTGGAGTGTGGTCAGGAAACCACACGTCATGAAATAAGTCCCATTATCAATTAAGGGTTGGGGTCAAAGTGCAAACTCTCCTCCACATGCTCATAACAACTGTTAGCAATTACAGACAGAAGTGAGTGAGAATGTGTGAACACAAGTAACAGTATTTGTACAATTAAAGGTGACGTAGCCAACTAAATATTGAATGTTAAAGCAGGTTTCCCACTCTTTCACTGACAAAATTTTAAAATTTTTCCATGACTTTTTCATGACCTAAAGCAAATTTTCTATGACTTTAAATATGAAAATAAATATGAAATGTTAACCCTTTCCACTCACCTTATGGTATGGAATTTTAGTTTTTTTTAACATTCAAAATACTGCATACTTTCAGAAATAATCATAATAGCCTAATAACTTGCTTAGTTGCATGAAAGAGATACTAAATTTCCCTGACTTTTCCAAAACTTGCATTGAATTTACCAAATTTCATGACTTTTTCAGGCCTGGAAAATTACATTTTCAATTTCCATGACTTTTACAGGATTCCCATGACCGTGGGAACCTTGTTATAGATACACATTATAACTTTTCTCCCCCATTTGCTTATCTCCATGGAGATTGTTTAAAAAAATACCTTGATCTTAGTAGTAGATCTGACCTCTTGCTTGGCCCAGCCCTGGTGGCACCACCTCCAAAAGAAACCAATAGTGCACCTTTAAAATTTAAATACCAGTCCATCAAGTTACTTAATAACAAATAATAATAATAATAATAAAAATGTGACTAATAGTCAGGCCTTTTAATACTAATATATTCTTGAAGATCTATGCCAATATTACATTGACTAGGGGGAAATTAACCTACTTTAGAAAGTTAGGTCATTTGAGTAAAAATATTGCTAGATGATAAGCGCCAATAAGGAACAACTTTAATGCAGTGGAGAGTGAACTGCTCTGACACTTGAATAATGAGGATTTTTGATGAGGGTTTTGGGCCAAACTAAGTGTCTGCCTCTCCGCGGGGTCTCACAGACATTGCTCAGCCTGATTGGTCTGATGTCTCCTCCAGATGTTGAAACTGTAATGGGCTCCAATATACACCTCCATAGATATATAAACAAGGAGAGAAGTGCCCAGAAGTGCATGTGTTGTTATTCTCCATTGGATGGAGCAGGCCAGTCTGCTGCCAGGGTCTGATCCATCACAGAGGGCAGGAGCAGAAATGTGTTTGTGTTAATAATTCACCTCATCTATTCTGGGGAATTCAAACTAGAGCTGAGACAGTCGTTAGATCAGTTTGTTTTATCTGAGTTAATGCCAAAATAACAACGCTCCAGTAAAAAAAATCATAAAAAGAAGATGTATGAACCCAATCTTCCAGGGACCAAACATAGCTAAAAAGAAACTGTGTGCTTATTCTGGTTTCACAAATTAACACAAAGAAATAATATATTACTGAAAAAGTAAATGTATGCTCTACCATCTGTAAGTGTATTTGATTTGCTTGCTTTGGAGCAATGTGAGAAGACAACAGCTAACCTAATTACAAATGGGAGCTTTAATACAGTTGACTCCAGCAGAAGGTAGGGCATCTGGCATTCTGTGATGGTGCAGGGAAGGGAGAAATAATCAATGAATAAAACCCTTGTAAACTAACTGCACCGCTATTCATTCTTCAGAGTAAATGAATGACCATGTTATTTGAGGAGAGGGTGAAAGAGCAGCAATGTAATATCCATATAAGATACATCATTGTTATAGTTACAGTTTTACTTTTGGATGAGTCTATTGGCCATAATAATGCACGAAGAGCTATTAAAAATTATCATTACATTGAGTAAACACTGATTTTGGTTTTCTTTTGGTCCATCCAACTTTTTATCATAAATTACCTCCCAGGCTTTTAACCAGATCCATTTCTGTTCACACGCATTACAGTTACCCCCTCTCCTACAGAAGCAGCTCTGCAGGTAGAAATATGAAAGCTGCGGAAAACATGGCAGTGTCTATTGATTTATCGCACCAGGACCTAAAGTGCATTCCACATCTGTAGCTTCTGGAAAAAAGAAAATCACAAGAAATGTAATATGAATAAGTGTATAGTATGTGCAAAAGCTTTGTGGTATAAGTATGTATATATTCATATACCACAAAGCTTTAATTTGGACACTAATTGAAAACAATCAAGCAAACCATAGTATTTAATGGATTTGAATAATGTTATGTTTTTAATGTTATGATATGAAACCTGATGAATGAACTGATGAATAATACAACTACCTTTCAGAATGTTATTAACACAGACTATACCTACAGTGATGGGAGAAGTACTCAAATAAGTAAAAGTACAGATACTGGAGCAAAACCCTCAGTCTTTCAGCAGGTCTCAGACAATCATAAAAAATATTTTTACTTTTCAGTCATGTTCAAAAATGTAGTGAAGAAGAACGTACATAAACCTGCTCTCAAATGTGATGAAGTAAAAGTTAAAAGTAGCCATTTAAAAAATTACATACAGTATAGTAAGTACAAGTACCTAAAATTTATACTTAAATACAGTACTTTACTGTACTTTATAACTTTTACTTTGATACAATCCACCACTGTATACCCATATATGTGAAATTAATGTCATTTTTGAATAATAATTGCCGTCTCCATAGCTCAGCCAAATGCAGCGAATACTCACATATGAAACTCCTTATTTGGCTGATCCCTCATGGCCATAAGTTACCACAAAAATGCATTGTTCATAATAAGGCTAAAAATCAGACACGCTATTGAGAAAATGGGAGTGCAAAGAAAAATATGCACGTTGTAGAATCCCCTTATGAGCTGCTATTGTTCGTGTTTACTTTGTGCATCAGTCAGTCTGGACCCACTGGGGCCAGGGTGGGCTCAGTTTGGGGGCTGCTCTGATCCAAGAGTCGAGGCTTGTTCCATTGTTTTTCTGTGGACAATCTTGTACTTGGCCTTCATGTCCTTCAGTAGAGACACAGCTTCCTTATAGTCCTGTTTGTTGCCATCCTCTCTTTTAATGGTTTTGGCTTTAAATGAGGAAAGAGTTATGTTATAAATTTGAACATTAATTATATACCTTTACATATTCATTTCAAGAATTCTGTTGTTATATTTTTCTTGCAATCAAGTTTTATCTTAATTCAATCTGAAGAGATTCCACTGTTTTGAAGACTAAAATGCAATATATATGCTTTGCCTGAAATGTTGCTCAGACTGGCATTAAACTTATCCATCTGTTTTCCTGGAGCTCAGTCATAAAGCATTTTTTTTTAATCAACAAATGTCTGTAATTAAATAAATGGGAACATTTCAAGCAGTACCATAACATCTCTATGTACACAAGCATGTACCCCCACCAGAAAAGTTGCATAGTGCATCTTTAAATTAGACGTCCTCCTGATGAAAACCATTTTACATTGGCTTTTAGAGCTGTAATAAAAAGTACACCAGTTGATAGATGACTGTATTTGATTTGAGCATATTTTTTCTTTTTTTTTTTTTTTTCCAAGTAGCATTTAGGTCAGTCAAAGGTTTGGACACACCATCCTCATTCAGTGTTTTTGATTATGAAGTAAGATATATGGAATTATGTAATAAAGAAAAAAGTTAAATAACTCTAATAACTAAACAGTTTGTACATATTTTATACTGAAATCCTCAAAGTTAATTATTTTACTTTTTTCCTTTACTACATAATTCCATATATCTTGTTTCATATATTTGATGTTTTCTGTAGGAAGTAGTAAAAAAAAAAAAAAAAAACCCCCCCAAAAGTCTCATTTAGGGCTTATTTCTGATAAATAGAACAATGTGCATACTTAAAGGTACTTCTCTCATTGTCCTGTGGAGTTTTATTTCCTCAATCATTCGGTCGAGCTGTTCACTTTGTTGCTTTAGGGGCAGGGCTGGTGGAGGTGGGAGTGCCTTAATCTGTGAAGAAAAGCATGTTTTTTACATTATCGAATAAAAATATGAAAATGTTCCCTGTTTAATGCTGAGCTGATCACAGTTGGACGATAAAACGTGCACAGCAAATCCCCAAACCCTTTTCTCTCTCTCTCTGTAGGGTGTCTGGATGCTATCAAGCTTGGGTTTTGAGTCTCTATAAACATTAAGATTCTTCAGTGTGTGCTCCAGCATTCGAACAGCTGTCTGAATTCCTGTTGAAAAGAGAAAACAGAAAAAAAGGCATGAATATTCACTTTGCGTTTTTGACATTTCCAGGTTTAAAGATGCACTGTGTAACTTCTGGTGGAGGATTCGCCACCTGTTTGTCTCCATAAAGAAATGAATGCTTTGCCTAGGACTGAAAACATCATCTATTTCTTTAAAACAAAAAGAAAATAAGACAAAACTGACCCAAATGTGTTATGTAGCTGTTATTTATCCCTCAAGTAACTACAGAAAAATATATACATAAAAATTCAAACATTATGAGCTTTTCTGGGCCAACTATGATCAGTAAATAGTCTTATTACACTGATCGATGTCAAACCAGGATATCAGCTAAACCAATTTGGAAGCCGAGATCTGATCCATCATTTTTTTCAGTATTGCCGCTGATATCCAATACCAGTATCAGATTGCTGTATCCCTACTTAGTGTGATATCAAACTTTGCTATTTTGCATTTATTTAATTAAAGCTGCTCTTGTTGCTCAAAAATACATTGAAAACCAGGTTCACCTTCCCACAGACACGACCTGGAACTTGACCTAATGACATCATCCGCTTGTCTCCACTGAGTTGTTTACTGTACTTTCAATGCCATACTGTGTAACATTCCAGGCCAAGCAATAATATCTCCATGGAGACAAGCTTGTGGCAAAAACTCAAACAGAAAAGCTTCACACCAATGGGCTGATCCAGTGATGTGAGGTCTGGTTTAATGTCTGTTAGCCATGGCTGAGAGTTAAAGTCCACAGCGCTGTCTGGGTTTTCTGCTGACACTTTGAAAGGAGTCTCTGTGTCCAATTGTGAATCAACATCCATCTGAACAACAAAGTACATTTAAACCAACATTGAGACCATGACTACAACAAATCTATATCACCTCTAATGTATTTACCTCAGTGACGAAGAAGGGCTGTTCTGTTTTATGTTCAGTGGTTTGGTCAGAGGGCCGCTGTGTGGTCGGCTCCCTCTTGATTTCAGCTTGAGTTTGATGATCCAGTCCTTGTGTCTTTTTAGATAGATATGGGATCATTTTGTGTGCCTGCAAAAAAAGTTAAAAAAACTAGTCCACTTAGGCCCAAAGTAGATATGTGAAGAATATTCTGTTAAAAATACTTGTGAGAATTAAAAGCAAAATTATGACATTTTAAGTATTCAATACTCAATAAAAATTTGCCCTTCAGAGTAACTGAGTGGTGGAACATAATACAGTGAAAGTAGTAAAGTACTAAGGATACATTTTAGGTGTCAGTTCTTTACTTTTTACTTTTACTTCACTACATTTGAGAGCAGGTATCTGTATGTTCAATTCCACTACATTTTTGAATAAGTATTTTTTTTATTATGGTTTGAGTCCTCCTGAAAAGGCTGAGGGGTTCATTTTTAAACCAAGCCTGAGTAAAATGACACAAATATCACAAATGTCAACATAAATACATCAATCAGTATTTTTTTTCTAGCTGTTTATTTACAACTAGAAAAAAAAATCTGATTCATTTATTTATGTTGAACAAAATTCAGGACAAATCTGTATAAAAATGATTATATTTCAAGCTTTATTAGATGTCTAAATCTGTGTCAGTACTTTTACTTTACTAAATGTTGTACTTCTTCCAATACTGCAGTAACTTTCCCACTACTTTATCAGTACGTTATCATTCAGAAAGTTGAATATAATAAAATTTATCACATAACTATGCAAATGATTATGAATAACTGTACATTCAGATATAACATCTGAATCATGACATCCCACGTCCAAAGAATAACTTAATGCCCATTTACAGGTAAATATTTGTGATGAGGATACAACATGGTTAAAAAAAAGTTAGTATAATATTTTGGCCACAAAAGAAAATATCAAACCTTCCACTTTGGCTCCACATTGGGTTTTGTTAATGACTTGACTTCCTGTTGATTTTTCCTCTTTATTTTCACACCCAGTTTGTCTTGGAGGTAGTACGTCAGCAGAGGGGGGTCTCCTGAGTTAACACAAAGAAAAATGTGCTTCTAAATGCCACTTTTCAGACAGACAAATGTTTTTACTGGAGAAGGACAAAATCACCGCTTCTCTGAGTGGTCAGGGGATTAGAGCTGATATCGATTTCATTCAGCATTGGGAACAGGGCCACAGCTAACAGTGCCTCTTCCCCTACAATCTGTCAGACAAAACAATTAGCATTATACTTGGAAACTCATTTGAACTGCATTTCCCATATAAGACCATGCTTACCTTGTTGCCAGACAAATTAAGAAATTGAAGTTCTGGGAAAGGAAAATTGAAGTCTTTGCAGTCCCAGTCTTTGTGCTGAAAGAACTGCTCTAACACAACCCACAAATAATAACTATTAAATATTTCTGTCATAACAGTACTATTATTATTATTATTATTATTATTTATTATTATTATTACCACCTGCATAAGTTTCAATAGGTTATCACTGATATTTCCAGCTGTCTCTCCTTCTTCCTCATTGTGTTCAGCTGAAATCTGTTCTGTTTTTAAATGCTCCAGCAGTTTCAATAAAGGGACCTCAGATATTAGGTTCCCCTTAAGATTTAAATACTTCAGTCTGTAATAATTAATTCATCTGTATTCAGATGGTATTGTACAAAATGTTGTTTCTTAGTAAACTTTTCTTACCTCTTCAAGTGTCTCAGGCAATTGAAGACATCAGAAGATAATTTGTTATCATCAAGCATCAGGACTTCAAGACTTCTAAAATGTGTGTTGTCTTTTGAGGTTGGCCTGAAACAAGATGCAGATGTTGTGTGCTTAAAATGTAGTCCATTCTTACGTACTGCTACTGTGTTGTAACTCCAGCTACAATTTCATACATACATACCAAAGGCTTTGATGCAATCAATAATTTAAAGTCACTGTAAACAGCATATGATAAAATAAGGTACTGACTGAGTTGTGTTATGGTTGGAGGAGCTCAGCTCAAGAGGGAGATGATATAGCTGGTTTTCAGTCAAATGAAGGACTCTGAGGTGTGAAAGCTGGCCAATAGCCGCTATAGCATCTATGGATAAGCTGTTGTAAGAGAGGTCCAAAACCTGAAAGTTTAAATATATATTATCACTTTATCAGAGCAAAGGGTGTTATCTGTTTCTATTATGGAAAGCATCAGTCTAATGTATAAAAAATAATACATCATAGCAGCATGTATGTTATGTGGTTATGTACACAGGGTTACGGCTGTTAATTTTCAAGGCTATTGGAGCGCCCTCATGTGGCTAACTCTACCCTCTACATCCCTCTGACAGAAATCACTGAGTCATAAAAATAACTCTGATGCAAGATGTTTGTTTGAATGTCTACCAAAGAGTTGCAAAATGTGTGTGTTGATTGTGATAAAAACATTCTCTGTATAAACTTTGCTCTTTTTTGATTCCAACAGCAGAAGAAAATTAAACTGGAGTCTCTCTTTTGCCAGAACAGCCCAGAAGCAGATGGGCATTTCAGAGACTGGAGTCAAACTGTGGAATTTCTTGGAGAACTATCTTAAAAGTTCTTTTAATGTCCCTCAGTTCAAAAGAAAATATATACTGTCATTTAATAACTGTCATCACAACTGTACGTACGTGTGAAATTGATCAATACTTTGGTGTGATCTGAGAATCTGGTATATTTCCCTCATTTTGGAGAACATAATAATAATAATAATAATAATAATAATAATAATAATAATAATAATAATAATAATAATAATAATAATAATAATAATAATAATAATAATAACTGAATGCTATTACCTCTAAGTGTGGAAAGTCAGGTGGATCGAATGCCATGTCCTGCAGTCTGTTCAGAGACAGGTTGAGCTCTCTCAGATTCACAAAACTCCTGAAATGACCTATTAAAAACAAAGCATTTCATTATGGGGTGAAGGTGTAGTAGACTACAGGTGTTTTTAAGCTTCTTATGTGATGACGCCATACTCCCAGATGGGGGCAAGAACCAAATTTCCTTCCTACATTTGAATGGTGAAAAGCCATCAAAATGTTGCATATAACAGGAAGCTGAAATCCATTAGTTGATTACATTGCACTTTCCTATGAAATATCCTAAAGGTACACCTATTCAAGTATATTGTATATCAAATATTTTAATGTCATGTGAAGTAATAGGATGACAGACTCACCTAGGGACAGGAAGTTTATAGATGCATCTATTTGAATGACATTGTTAAACGTATTGAAATCCTTGTCATTCACCTGTAAAACAGTAGTTTAGTTTTGCTGTTTGTGAGATGCCTGTGTCTAATACACAGTAGCAAAAATCAGACATACACCATTTAAGTTCTGCTCAATTAAGCTCACAGTGCTCAGCTCAAAGGGCTCATCTACACAGTGAAGTCTGAGCTGCAAGACAAATGATTTGTATGAATGTTTGTATGTTATAAAAATGACTAGTTTTCATAAACTAACCACTTACAAGAAAGTCTTTATTTAAAATCCTACCCACGGAAACTCCCTTGTTCTTTTGTTCCTTGTAGGTTTCTTTGGTCCTTCTGTACACATTTTTGTAGTGGCTTTCCTCTGCTTTTCTGTAAGCAACTAGCCAGTGTCCAACACCTGGGAATAAAATAAATAAACAAACAAACAAATAAATAAATTAATAAATAAATAAATTAATTAATTAATTAATGACTCAGTTTTCATTTCTACCTATCTATTGTTTTGTAACATCAAATTAGCTTTTTTTTTTTTTTTTTTTTTTTTTTTTTTTAAAGTTTGCAAGTTTACCAGCCCACTTTTAGGTTTTCACTTACCTGTTCGACGTGCTGGATATGTTCGGACTGTAAAACAATGAGTTGGATAGCTCATACTCTGCTCATTGTCAAATGTGTACAACTGAGTCATTTTGTCATGGATTTTAATTTTCAAAGCATGTCTTCCAGTTAAATTGGTGATGAAAATGAAAACATTTAACTAGGGATCCAGTGCTTCAAGTAGGTTTTGGAGAGTCCTGTCTCCTAGCAACAAAAGAGAAAAGAGCACCCAGTGCACCAGGGGGCGACAGAGCCCCCTGATAGCACCAAGAGTCAAAGAAAAACCAAGATAGTTAAGTTCTTCACAAAACGGGTTTACGGGTTTAAACATGGGGTTTAAACAACATTCTATGGGAGAAACTACGCACTTACTCCTTTTTAAATAATACCTTTAAATTATTCAGTTAGTTTTGAGTAAATTACATCAGTTTATTAAATCTGAAACAGGTACATTCGATTTAAAATCTTTATTTCAAAGGTCAAAATTGAGCAGTGCGCATGTCCACAATGATGTAGGGCAAGTTTCACCTCCGTTATACTTTCCACAAATGTAGCCTTTTTCTTCTTGTTTACAACGCTTCTATATTTTATTGTGTTTATTTCAGTTATTATATAAGACTTCAATTTCCAGTGAAAGTCATTTAGCTGTATTTTTATGATGATGTCTCTACCGCAGAACACGGAAGTGAAAGTGGATTTATTTTTCGATTCATTGACGTCCTTTTCTAAAAGCACTAAGCAGCATTCTCGATAGCATCATATTTATTTTCTTTTTTTGGAAAATATTCTTTATCATGACATTTTCAATAGTATTAAACGCCGTTTAAGTGGCTTGTGAAGGTAAGGTTCCATTGTGCAAGCGCAGTCCGTATTTGAAGCTCAGTCTGAATGTCATCACAGGAGCTGATGAAGTGTGAACTCTTCCTGGTAGTCTCTCTACAGATGTTTCATGCACAGGATTCAATCATAGTGTCTCTTTCTCTGTTATTTCTTGCGCATGCAGGACTCCGTATCAACCATGGGGAACAGAGCCTCAAAAAATGGCAACATGGACGAACCGGTCAAAACAACTTTATTTGAAAAAGAGCCCAGTGGCACAACATACAGGATCCCTGCGCTCATCTACCTGCGGCACGTCCAGACTTTTCTCGCCTTCGCTGAAAAGAGGTCGTCGCCCTGTGACCATGACGCCAAGATCCTGGTAATGAGGAGAGGAACAATGAAAGAGGATGGATCTGTTGAGGTAAAATCATCAATTTGATCTGAATCGCCTATATATTCGTAATTACGGTGTTATTGATTAGGCCGGGTTTGATGAGATTAGACCAGTTTGTTGTTTGTATCTTATACAATATGCTCTTCAAATGTTTTCACAACGCTCAAATGTGACAAGGTATAACTTTCCTCAGCCTTTTTACAGCAAACAAACAGAACAAGCAGTAGCCTAAATTTCATAATTAAATTTGGATTAAAATCCAAAATTCAGACAATATTTTTGTCTTGATCAGTGTCTGTAATTGTCAAAACAGCCTGGTTAACCCTATGATGAACCTTGAATGGCATATTTTGATTATGCTGAACATCAGAGGAGTGGCATTATACAGTAATTACACTCAGCAGTGACACTGTCATTTTTTTCTCTTTAGTGGTCATCAAGACAGGAGCTGCAATCAGCCACTTTACCAAACTACCGCACAATGAATCCTTGTCCTGTGTACGAGAAAAACAGTAAAACAGTCTTCTTGTTTTTTATTTGCATCTGGGAAAACATTACAGAGAGGTGGCAAATCTGCACAGGTAGGAACAAAACACGATTGTGTTATGTGACCAGCACTGACAATGGCCAAACATGGAGCGATGTGACGGACTTAACAGAGAGTGTGATTGGGGAGACTATCCACAAATGGGCCACTTTTGCAGTTGGTCCGGGCCATGGGGTGCAGTTGGAGAATGGGAGACTGATCATCCCAGCTTATGCCTATTACATTCCATACAGGTGCTTCTCTTATCCCATTCCTGGCACTGTCCACCCACATGCCCTATCCATATACAGCGAAGACTATGGCCAGACATGGCGACTGGGTAAGATGCTGAGAGCACCCTCATGTGAATGTGAGATGGCAGAAATAATTGACCATGAAGGTAGAAGCCATCTTTACTGCAATGCCCGCTGCACGAACAAAAGAGGAGGCCGTCGATGTGAGGCTCTGAGCGAGAACAGTGGTGTGTTTTTTGACAAACCACACTTTGCCCGTGAGCTGGTGGAGCCCCCTGCAGGTTGTCAGGGCAGTATCATTGGCTTTCCCGCTCCAGAATTTGTCCCAAATGATGATGCAGAAAGCAAAGCCTGTGGAACTTCTCTCCTGTCTCCAGATACCCAAACATGGCTCCTCTTCATGCACCCCACCCATGAGTCTGGCAGGAGAGATATGGGGGTGTATTTAAACCGTTCCCCGCTGCACTCATCTGGATGGGACAAGCCTAAGATCATCCACAGTGGACCTAGTGGCTACTCAGACCTGGCCTACAATGGGGATAAAGATACATTTTCTGGTCTGATGGAGTGTGGGAAAGAATCGGAACTTGAACAAATCACATTTGTCACTTTTACTCTCAATGATGTCATGCAAATAGGCAGCAGGAAGGACAAAAAGATGGACTGAGGTAGAATGGAGATTCTCAATCTTTTCACAAGTTAGTGGCTCTAAGTTAATTTAATCTAAATGTAATCTAAAACATAGCCTAGTTAGTCTTGACTGACTGAAGTGACAGATCACATATGGATTAAATATTAATTACTAAATAAATCACAATAATATGACCAAGTTTTATAATCCTTAATGAACAGTTTTCTAAAATGAAAATCTAGGTCCCAACCAGAACAACTATGAAGTGACTTAAAGTGTGCTGACAGTGGAAATCCAGTGAAATTGGTTAATTCTCCTAGCTACTGTCAAAGAATAAACCACTAAATATGCTGTGAATGTGCTGTGATGTCTAACAATACATCTGTCTGTATGCATGAGTTGTGTGATGTTGTCTTTAAAAGAAAACAAACTTAGTATCAATATGCAACTGTGCAGATGTGTAAAAGAAAAAAAACTATTTTTAACTGTTCGGATGGGTCCTTTTTTTAGCATGCAGTGGTAGACTATTATTAGACATTTGAAAACTTTCATGTCTTTCTACATCCTTTGAAGCAGTGGAGGAAATGTGACTACCTCTTTTTGTTTTGAGATCATAGCTGGCCTTGTGAAGGAGTCCGAGGAGTTTGCTCCTGACATAACCTTTACATTCAATACTTGATGCCTTTGACTCCACTCTCTTATGTTCATTTGTGCCACAGCCCGGGAAATAGTTTTATACAATACACTATATTTTGCTACCTGTCAAATTGGGAATAGTTAATGTTTTATTTTCAGTTTCTGTAGGATGGCATACATTCCTCAGACATTCACATGGTTTACTTATTGCTAGACTTTGTCACTCATCAATTTTGTAAGTGCAATATTATGGCCTAATAAAGTGTGATAGCAGTTCACTTAACGCATGTGAAAAAAAAAATTTATATATTCCCTTTAGGACTTTGCACATGTAAAACTGTACTGAGTGACTGACAAATAAAAATTACATATAGATTTATTATGTGTTTGTTGTTCAAAGTATCAGCAGCTGCATGAAATCTGTATTTTAGTAGAAAATAAAATGATGTGATGAGCCCACTCTGTCTGTGTATTATTGTTTCATATTGCAATTGAAGTTGGTAAAGGCCTGTTAGATGAAGTCCTGATAGGATAATTACTATATTGACTTAGCTGGAACAATATTTTTGGGGCTTAATGTTTATTGTGTGTACATTTTCTTAGCAATAATGGTGGGATTTATGTTTTTTTTTAGTTGTAATGTGTTAAGATTTGAGCTGTAGCGAGTTGAATAAGTAAAATCTGTGGCTATTTGTTTTTTCATTCTGTTATTTATTCCTTGCATTTTGGTGATACTGTATACCGGTATTTAAAAATTGTTCACTAGGATTATCCTGCCTTATTGTTACTGTGTCAGTGGCATAAAGTAGTTTCAATATTATCAATTATGATTCCATGTCTCTGTCTCTACTTTAAAAAATGTTTTCATGACAGACTGAGGTTGGTATGATCAAGTCAAGGTAATAGAGAATCTTAATGGGTGAAAGTAAATAGACTTGTTAAACTTGGTAATGTATGAGCATTGTAGTTGCCATATAGTACCATAAGCTACTGTGCAGTGCAAACATAAACTGTAGATGCAGGTGTTGTTATCTAAATATAATAAATGACCAGAGTGAATGAAATATTGAACAGAAAACACAACCTAGGATCCACATTATGTATTTAAGTGCATGTGAAGATTAAGTGAAGATTTAAATGTGTGTGCAAAAGAAAACAAAAATAAATGGACCAATGGAGCTCTATAGTGTCACTTTGTTACTGTCTGGGACTATAGAGCGTCTGTTTGTGTGAAAACATGTTGATGAGTTTAAAGAATCCTCTGAGGATTTGGATGTGATCGAGCAGATGTGCAGACGGCAGGGATTATGTAAGACGAGCCGTTCAAAGCAGAAAGCAATACTGTGCATTTATGTAAGCTGTTCACTTCATATGACCCTTTTAAATATTCAATCCACAAATGACCTTCACTCACAACTGCATCTAGCTGTGCTAGATATATCTTATGTCTTATAAGTATTATAAGATTACTAAGTATTGTTTTTAGAGTGGACATTTTAGGAGAAGTTAGAAATGGGCCCAGGGTTAGATGATTCATTTTAGTTTGAATCCAAGTCATTCAGTCAAGATCAAGTGCATTAAAGATATTAACTTCAGTGAGTGTATTTTGTTTGATTGAAGCCTTTTTGAGGGCCCAATGTCCATTTGATAGGCATGGCTGAATCTATAGGTTTTTATAATACTCTCGATTCAACCAACTGATTGAACCAACTGTTGCACTATATAGAGGTGGGAGGATCAAAATCAAGTATAACTGGCTAAAACAAAAATATATATTCAACAGACAAAAATAGACAAAAGGTCTGACAGTGATGTTCATTACAATGGTATAAAATCTAAAACACAGACACAAGATTCTATTGTTGTAAAAAAGATAAGACTCAACTAGATTTTCCTCTGCTCTTAAGAACTCATTAAACTGCCTGCTCAGATTCTTCTTCTTCTTCTTCTGCCTCTGGTTCGTCTTTCAGCATAGAACCGAACTCTTGGTTTAGTGTCTTCTGGCTCAGATGTTGGACATTTTGGTGGTTCCTCATCTTTGACCTGGCTCGTGTTGAGGAGAGCTTGTAACCTCGAAGTTTGTTTACTCCTTCATTAGTTTTTTGTTTGTATCTTTGCAATGACATTTGGACATACTTGAACCTCAATCAGACATTTACAGGCACGTTTGACCTAATTTTTGATGGATTATCATAATGAGGGTAATGCAAAATAAATATTGAGATATTTATTGTACATGTGATGAGTACTAACATTCTGCTTGGTAATGTCAATGGATTTTTACATATTTGAATCAACCATATAACATCATATTCACTCAATTTTTAATTCAGTTTTCTAGGGCTAACAGTATTCTTCATGTTTTTCAGTAAGAGTTATGCTCTATGTGTTGTGAAACTGACCTTGGGAATGTCCTCTGTGGGAGCTGCCAGTGCATCACAGGTGTTTAGTATTGCACTGAAAATATTAGTGATGATAGGTTTCCCGCCGGCTTTGCTCTTTTAGCGCTGCACTGTTGGACACAAGGTCACTGCTGTTGTCACCCCCATTTGATTGACCCCAGTGATGCCAGACATGGTAAGGTGCTATGAGAAAGTTCTCAATAATTATGTATCCAGTCTACAAATGTGGCCTATCTATAACAGATTCTTCACAATATTTTCCCTTCTTTCTTATTGTAAAGGTTTTGGGTAGTCTAATTGCATTGTAGTGCTCAAAGAGGGTACATAATTTGTTTTGACTCAAAGCAGCACATTTCGTGCAGTGTTAATAATTCACAAGTGTTTTCAAGTGCCTCACTAAATGCATTTGAATCCATGTACAAAGTGTGAAGTACTGGTTTGTGTTCACCTTGCTCAAAGTACATTGCACTGCACCAGGGTATTACTATTATATATTTTTGTGAAATATGGCAAGTCAAATGCCTTTTATTTCTAAGGCTGTAAGAAAATGTGTTTTTGCATCAAAATTCAGATTAGAGCTGTGTGCGTCTTCAACCACTTCTCTTTTCTCAACTTCAAATCCTTTTAAACCTCAGTGAAATTCAAAAGCTGCTGGGATTCATGTACAAAAACATACTCTCCTTTTAGGGAATAATGTTATGCAGTCATGAATGATATATTTTGTAAAATGCCATTCTATCCTCTGGCTGGTTACCTGTCATGTATGAAATGCAGAAAATGCCCTCTAAGACATGGACAGAAATTGATAATTAGCTACCAGCTAATGCCTTATTCAAATGTCCACAAAGCCAATGCAGTGCACAGGTCAAAAGCCAATGAAATATCATGGGAATGAATCATGATGGCAAACTCAAAGAGGTTTATTCCAAATGCAAACTTATCATGAAATGAAATTGAAAAGAGCCCATTGTTCAAGTTAAAGGTGTTGAAAGAAGTTTCAGAAAACCTCAGGTGTGAATCCCAATGAAAATATTCAAACTGAAAATATTTTTTGTCAAAACATGTGCTTTTCCCTTCAGGTTAGATATGTTTGAGTAACACATAATACATTCAGTATGAGATGCTGCTCCTCTTTTGGTTTCTGGTAGTTGCAGTACAGTCAAATATAGGATATGCAGGCAAAATACATGTTGAGAGTTGATTGAAGTTTGTATGTACATCGTAGGCTACAGTTGTCACAGAATCACAGGGAGAGGCAGCGTGTTGCCAAATCAGTCCAGCCACATCCTCCATTTATGTAAACTGCCTTCAGCTTCTCACTGTCACACAGGTATTTACACATTAACATAAACTATTTCATTTCTCAACATGTCCCCCAAGGGTTAGAGCTATTTTCATGACAAATTAGTAAAGGAAAAAGATTTTCCTAAGTTACAAAGGATTTCAACAAAAATAGATACATGTACATGGTAGTATAAAATCAGTTTAACATGAGTGACAAAATGTACATGAACAGATTATTTATCATAAAATAAATAAAATTATATTAATACATTTGCTTTATCTTACCCCTAAAAGACTGAATTTCACTCTGATAAATTATTGTAAAACTACTATCCACAGTGTCCAGATCCTCTGCTCTGTTACTTTTGCATAAAGTCCTTCTGGGTTAGACTCGAGGTCAGTGCCATTGTTTGATACAGTTTAGAGAGATACAAAGGTTAATGCACAGAGCAGTATCTGGAGTCTTCATGTGTGTGGCACATATACCCACCACACAAAATCATAACACTGTTCAGAAGAGTACAAAATGGCTTACAAGGGCACTGCAAATCTACATAAGCCATAAAAGCCATGCCACATTAAAACCCTGTTAGGGCGATTCTCTCTTAAAGGGACATGCGCACAGTTTACAAACAGAGGAGGCGAGAGACTGCTGTGAAGGCAGGGTTGGGACTTTACTAATGCTAGTTTCAGTTTTTGATTGTAACATAATTCACACAAGGATAAGATACACCGATCAAGCATTACATTATGACCAGGATAATAGTGGTTTTAATATCCGCTCATTTCAAGTCTGTTAGATGAGATCTACACTTGCTTGACAATAGTGTTAAAGGTCATAAGTTCTGTGGATATTAAAAATAAGCTATCTTTGATGGGTTAGTACAACGTAAAATCTGGACAAAAGCGAGGAAAGAGATTCAGCAAAACGTCAAGATAGGAGACAGGCAATGTGGCTTGTGTGCCACCTCCTGACGCCAAACCCATTAACAAAAGCTGCAGTTTTGTGGATCTTTCAAAACCAGTGGGGAAACTATGAAGACAAGATGTGCACTTGCTGCATCAACTTCAAAATATTTTCATGTATAATATTTGTTCTTCACTTGTGTGGTCATAATGTTATGCTTGATTATTTCACTAGGCCTATACATCTTCTCAAAGTGCATTTTCTTACATCACATGCTCATAACAAATCAATTTCTCTTCTTCAAAAGCATGTAACCTGCCTGATTCAGATTCTTGAGGCAATACCAGACTGGATTAGGTCTTGTGACCAAACTCACAATTAACCCATTGTCCCCAACCCTGTGAAGCAGTGAGCATGGCAGACCAGTCACATGCACATAATGGGAAATGTTAGGCTAGACATAACCAACGCCAACTTCTGGCTCCTGGCAGCTAAACATCATACAGATTCACAAGCAGCTGAAGTGGAGGCTCATGTCCAATGAAAGCACCGTTCACTGCAGGACAATGCACAGTATGTAGCACAGGTGAGTGAGAGTCTCATTGTCCAAAAACAATTCATCCATGAGGAACTGAGCAATATATGACCTTTTTTTTGAGAATTGAAGGAGATTTTCTTGATTTCATAGTGGTTATAATGTATTGGGCAAAAATGGTTATGCACCAATACTGGAAGCATAATGTTGCAGAGGACATGCATTGAGTATAGAGCAGAAGCAGTGATGCCCAATGTCTTAGTGTCTGTCCAGTCTCAGATTGGTTATGTTCAAGCACGGGACTCCTTCTTCGAATGTGGCTTGTTACCCAACAGAGCATCAATCTCAGTGATGGTTTGAGGGGTCATTTGGGATAATATCTGAAAAAGGAGAACAATTAAAATGTTTACAGTAATATGTACAGAATGTACAGACAATCTTTTAAGACATGTTATTGTAAAATAAAAATCTTTCCTAGATGGTGGTCAACAGTTCTGACATTTTCCCCCTCATGATTCAGTTTGCATTACTTTGGTATCCTTTATGGTGTTTTTGTTTTTAACGTTTAGTATTTCATCCAATTAAGACTTGTTAAAGAATGTTAATTTGTTACACCAGGTGAATGTTGAAAAGCTATTGTGCTTTCGATTTGAACTCAAAAGGATGCAAAGATGTATAGTTATAATCAGAACCTTAAAACCAAACAGTCATTTGCTTTGTCATATGCAACAAAATGCAAAACTTCTAATTAACCACACTTACCCGCAGGGCGCCCAAGTTCTCCACCAGCTGATCGGCATTTGAAACCCCCAGGAGCACCGAGCTGACTCCTTCACTACGCAGACACCAGGCTGGGACAGAGGGGACAGTCATTACATACTACTATTACAGTGAGTTCTTCTGAAAATAGTATGTGCTTCATCTCGCTCCATTTTGAGCTAATATGACAAAAGTGTTTCAAATACCTCAGCGACATGGACACATAATGGACTTTTAACAGAAAGTGAGTACATATGAGCATGTGGGTGAATATTTTTTTCGTTTTTCATTTACGGTATAATGTAACTGTATAATATAATTGTAGTGTACTTCAATGCTACATAACTGTTATATTTTCTATCATTAGCTAAAAAAAAAAAATCTATCAATAGTATACATGCAGTTCAATGATATAAACACAGTCATTATACCACATGCACAATTCAGTTGACACTGATATTGAGCTAATGTTATTGAATGTTTTAGTTCTTGAGTATTTATCTTTGTCATACCAATGGCTAATTGTGCAGCAGTGCAGCCCAGGCGGTCGGCCAGTAGGTGGAGTTCTTTCACTTTAGCCAGCTGCCTTCTGCCCTCCTCACTGTTCACCCGTTCCTTCAGCCACTGGTACCCCTTTAGAGAGAGAGAGAGGGGGGGAGAATAGGAGCAACTGGAGAGAGATGTAATAAGGCAGTAGCGTTCTGTGCTGATTTCAAACTTCAACACCCCACCGCTTGGGAGGAGAATTACTCTGAGTGAGGCCCCAGAGGGAGAGGCAGTTCAAATCAAACTGACCTTCATGGCCGCTCTCGAGCACTCGGGCACGCCGTCGCTGTACTTCCCTGTGATTAATCCACAAGCCAAGGGGGACCAGGTCATAGCTCCCACGCCTGAGAGAGGAAACCAAGAGAAACCTTTGAGTCCAGCTGTGCAATAGTCAAGACCACAGTGTGCAAGACCTGCTTTAGATGGAGCAGAGTGCACTGGATCAAGACCTTTATAGGACAGGATCACACCAAGAAGTCAAAGGACATTATACAAGTTTATCATTGATGATAAAAAGTTGAAAAAAAAAAGAAGGTAACGCTTATAATAACACCTAATTTAGTCTAGTAGTTGTTAAGCCTTAATCATTCTTAATAAAACTATTTCTTCATTATAAATTAAGTCTTCTTCATGCTTTATTAAGGCAAATTAGAGTGCAGTTATTATAAGGTGGTACCAAAAAGATCTTAAGCGTGAATTTAGAGCCATTTCATTTTCTCAATAAGATGAAGTGGGAACTAATTTCATGCTCATTAATTTCAAGCTAAATCAATCCTAATCAATCATAACCATTTAACTAAATTGAGCCAGGCTTGACTGGTTCCAATCCAACCACTCACTTCTGAATATACAGTTCAATCATGTAAAAAGTCAAATATTTGCAAGATACTTTATGCAATGCTACACCTTGAAATAAGATTTAGCCAGTCACACATTTATCCAATATGAAGCAAGTTTGTAACTCCTCTCTGGTAATCCCTGGTAATCAATAATAACAATGTATTTAAAGTTTTTATTATTTTTTATTTAGGACCTAGGAAATGTTTTTGTACCTATTTTGTGGTAGAGCTCTGGCAGCTGCACCTCCACTTTGTCCCTCTGGAAGTAATGGTACTCGGCCTGCTCACACACAGGTGGAATCAGATTGAACTGCCGTGCTACTGAGTATGCCTCCTGTAAAAAAAAAAGAAAAAAATCCAAAAATATCACCCCACTTATTTGGCCAGAAGAGCTTTCACAGTGAGAGAAAAGGGAACAAAGTTCACCATGATTTCCATTGCACTCCAGCGTGACGTGCCCCAGTACATGGCCATACCCTGGTTTATTACGAATGTCATGGCGCGTACAATCTCTGCAATAGATGGAGAAGCAAAAGAATGTGAAATGTAATTTTGAGCAGTTAGCACAATTAAATATACCATATCTAGAGGCTCACCCTCCATTGGACTGTTAACATCATTTCTGTTGGCAAAAACAATATCTACATAATCTAGCTGAAGTCTAGACAAGGATCCTCGTAAACCTGCAATCAACAATAGAGAAAAATGTTTTTTTTTTTTTTTTTTTACTAACATATATACACATAGGTATGACATCAACATGTAAGAGCCAGTATACAAATATCACATTAATTCTTTTGCATCATATCTACATTATATGAATGTGTGATATGGATTTTGTTCATATAGGAAAACTACAATATACTGGCTGTACAAGCATTACAGGAGAACTGGAAAACTAAAAGCAACACCAGCAACAACAAAATGCAGACTTTACACAAAATTCTGAAAAATCAAGCAGAAAGCTCTATGAAACTTGCCCTGTATGAACCTAACCTTGTAACAGTTTAAACGGTATTTCTTTGAGTTATTATGCAACAGCCTTTCATCAAAAGAGTCATGGCAATAACAGTCAAACAGCCAATTCAAGTCCTCACTAAATGGTCAGCCCAAGGCCATCCATTTTGTGCAAACTAAAAGATGAGTGTGCACAATGCCAGCAGCCTCTTAGACATCTCAGCGGCAGTCATTTGGCAGGGCACTGATTCAAATGGCAGGAAAAGTCATGGTTCCTCATCTGACCTTGTGTATTTTGGTTTAGACTATGCAAATGGCGGACTACTCTAAACCAATTACAATTACACTAAATACATCAGTTTGAAGAGATGGTGTGGAAATATGTCTACTCAGAAATAGGCCTGTCCCAGTAATTATTACATCGACTTATTGTCTAATATATGTCAGGTGTAGTAATATATTTTGGAGCTCAATATTTATCATGTGTACAATTTCTTTGCAATAATAGGGGGATATTTCTTATTTTTGTCATAATGCAATTTGAGCTGTAGAGGGTAGATTAAATAACTTCTGGGTAATTATTGGTTCATTCTGCTATTTATTTGTTGCAACTTATGGCTTTATATAATATGGCCTATGAACAAATTATCCAGTTTTTGATAATACAGTGGCATAAGACAGTGGCATAAAGTTTCAATATTGTAATTTATCGCAATATTTATCGTTTTGTATTCTTTTTTTGTATAATTTTGTTTTGTTGCAGTTTTAGACCAGTTTAAATTGGGGTAATTTTACCATGTGAAACATTGGAAACAAAAACATTGTTTACATTGATGAGCAAGATAATACAACATTAGTAAAACACACAGAAAGTAAAAACAATCTACAGTCAATGGTAACAGCACTGACACAATGGAGGATAAATCAATCTACCTTCAATTATGTGCTTTCTGGACAGGCCCCTCTCAGTCTCTGCTCTGTACACAAAACACACAAGCATACATTATTGAAGTGATGAAAGTGTACATTGATTCTCTACAACCGAATAGGCTACTCACTGGCCTCCCCAGTAAATCTTTGTTGTGATGACAAAACTTGAACGTCTGCAAGAGATAAAACATAAAGCTGTGACATTTTAAATTGTGTGTACATATCAAATGTTATTATTTGTTTTTTGAATGGTAACTTAACACACAATTCTAATGCATACCAAGCAATTATAACTTTAAAATATCTATAAGTAACTTCAGTAGTGTCATTGGAACAAGTATATTTTATAACAAATAGTACTATTAATAGTTGTACATTGTACTGTAAGTGAGGATAAATTAGACACCTTACCTCCATCCCTTCTTCTTGATTATGTTTCCTAAAGTGATTTCCGCTCTGAGGAGAAAAGAAATTCACACTGTAAATCTAAATATGCCATCTTAAAGTCAAGTTTTATTCAAAGCTGTAAAGAAAATAATGGTGTTGTTTATTTGAGTTAAAGCAGTGGTTTCTTCAGATGGTCTGGTGGTGAGTTTAAAAATAGTTGGTGTGCAGAAGGAGAAGAGAGGAGCCAAAGTTTTAATTGGATGTTTGAGGAAGTGAGGCTGACCTTCCTGACGCATACACCTCCGCTGTGTCGAACAGGTTCACCCCATTCTCATACGCAATGGTCATTAGGTTCTCTGCCATCTGAGCATACAAGAATCACACAAACTCTTAATAATCCAAGGACACTGTGAAGGGCATAGAGAAGATAAACAGGCCCATACACTATTCAAGTATAATACTGGGGCCGCCTTTGTCTGCTGTTTAAAACTACTTAGATAATAATGCTATACACAGTTTTCAGATTTTTCAAATTTTTTCAGACAAATATTGCAACATCATGATGTGCACAATGTAAAGAACTCCAGGAGGATTAAGATTTGAGGGAAGACTAAAATATGAAAGACACTAGTTAAAAGTGCATTGCACAACTTTTCTGGTTTAGGATCCTTCACCTGCTTGTCTCCAGGGAGATGTTATTGCTTTGCCTGGAATGTTCCGTGATATGACATTAAACACATCTATCTATAATTTATTAATTATGGGTGTTTCAAAGATACAATAATTCTCTCTGTGAATAGGGTTGCCTGTCCACAGATCTGCCCTGTAATGTAGCCTATAGCAGTCTCCCTTGAAATAAACAGGTTTAATCTCTATGGAACTTTCTAGATAAAGCAATAACATCTCCATGAAGACAAGCAAGTGACAGACTCTCTTCCAAAAATGTTGCACAATGCACCTTTAAACTAATGTAAGAATCCTATCAATACCATGAATTTCAGAATTTGTTTGTAGAGGTCTAAACCACAGGACTTTTCTATAAAAAATAGGATGTTTTGACATTCTTTTATCTAAATAATTACAGCCTTTATGAATTGGTAATTGTGCCAACTCAAATTGGTGTTGATTCAGTTGCAATATACTGTGCAGCCCTGAGTCCCTGTCTTTTACTACATTTATCACATCTATTTTCAGGAAAAAAATGCTCCTTTTCTGCCAAATATAACTCACCCACTGTTAGGTTCTATAATGACAGATAATCTTTGCTATAAAATTCAAGTTATATGTTTGATTCTCAAAGCACCATATATATTATACATACATAATATCCATATTATCTGGGCATTGAGAACAAAGAGAAAGTGTTCAGTTCTTACTTCATCTGAGATTTGTGAGCCAAATGTCACCCATGTTCCTGGAGAAGGCAGAGGACAGAGATTAGAGAGGGTGCAAAAAATGATCACTGCAATGTATGCCATGTACTCGTATTTACCTAGTCCTAGACAGGACACTCGTAGACCTGATTTCCCCAGGTTCCTGTCGAAGAGAAATAAAACACTTTACTAAAACTTCACCAAAGTAATCATATATAATAATTATTTGATATATATTATCTGTTTTATAGGCCTCTATGCAAATAACCACATTTCAGCTGAGGTCAAGATCCAGTCATTTCTAATTGTAAATAATCAGCCTGGGGCTTTTTAATTGAGAGATAAACAGCCAGCCCTCTATCAGTAAAGACATGTGGTTTGACAAAGAGTTCAGAGAAAAAAAATGATTATATTTATGTTAAATTCCAATAATTAAAAGTCTGTATAGGCTAAATGTCAATGATGAGTCTGTGTTCAAAATATTGATATTGACATTTTATTTGTTTTTATAAGACAAAATGTAAATCTAATCAACAACTGGGAACAATCAGTATGAGGAGAAAAAAGTGATAAACTTCATCATATCCCTCAGCCGAATTGTGAATGAAACTTTGAAATTTTGTATTTTACCAGTCCTTTATCTTCTTTCCCACTGCTCTGAAAACCTAAATCTTTCCTGTGGTTAAACTACTGCCTCTCTAATTATTTCTGAGCAATTGACCTTTTATTCTTGCTGTGTTAACAGTTCAGTCTGATACCGTATGTGCAAGGGAAACACTTAGAGGCGACTAGACCGGGCTGGAGTCCCGTTCTGGAGCCAAAACTATGTGTAAACTAAACTTAAGCTTGGTGGTCCATTACAGCAGATGTCACATGCGGTTATGAGGACAGCTGAATTTTGGATGGTGGGTGGAGGTGCACATGTACAGGCGGGATGTGGCCCTAAGTCTAATTAACCCAGGAACCAGCTGGATCTGAACAGCATCTCTGGTCTCTTCCTCCCCTGTGCGTTCGCTGTTGTCTGCCTCTGCCACAAATAGCCAAATGCACAAAGACAGACTGTCAAAGCATTTAGACGCAGCCCAATGAGTCCTGCTTTTATTTGCGCCTGTCTATTTTTAATGCCTGACCTTAAGCTATTTATAGATTCCTGCATATGTAAGCATTTGTGTCCCACTGGGCCCTAGTCGTTTTGTGTAGGATTGTGAATTATATTTTTTCCACATATGCACTTGTGTAGGCGTGAGGCACATATTGTTGTGCTGCTACATTAAAAAGGCAGTGGAAATAGCGCACAGGTGGATGGGTCAGCAACGTTACACTCAGAAAAAGGTGTTTGATGTAGAATATTCCTTGTATGGTGTGGAGCTGCTCAGATGCCAATGACGGCACCAAGATCCTGACTTTGAAGGCAAGAAAAAACATAATGACTGAAGGACAAGGCTCAGTGAGTGCTGCTGAATGTACTGTATCTCATTTATCTGCTTAACTGTCAGTCCTGCGACACCTATAAGATTATGCTTTTTGTTAAAGAAGATTTGTCAACCTTGGATTACTGAAATCATCCAGGAAATGGTGGAGGTGTTTCAATCCCAAAAAGACTAGTAAAAATCACAAAGTAATAATAATAATAAAACATTAGCAGAAAGTCACGCTGGTACTGGTCTTTGAGGAACAGCCTAATCCTCTGACCTCTGTTGACCGATTACAGTTAACCCTTAAGATTTATGTCATCGTCAGCCATTGTTTTCGTACCACATGTCAAACTTATCTGTAAAGAACACTAAATCATCCACCCTTAAACACAGCTTAACAGTGGTCTGAAAATAAAACTGGCTTGCCAAGGCTTTTGGAGGCTATTTTTACTCTTCTTGAAGCCAGTCACCCAAAAATAATGCAGCTATTGTGCTGCAATCCAAAAATATAATATAATGATTTGAGAAAAAACATGCATGGCCATTCAGTGTTAGAAAAAGCCTCATATTTTGACAATATATAAATAATTTACTATTACAAGCTGCACTCTATGGTTTACCACCTTTGTGCACTCCATGTGCTGTTCTCAATCTCATTTACAGTAATGAAAACAGAGATGTGTGACAAACACCTCAGTCTGAGTCAACAGTAGCGGTAGCCACCACAAATGCTACCACACACTGAACTGAGAGAGCACAAGCCCATAATATTTAAGTCTTGAGTTAACATGTTTTTGCATTAGAAACAGGCTGGTTTCAGTGGTGAGGACTGCTGTTGTAGTCTGATGTTGTAGTTTGTGGGCAGTTGTGATTGTTGTGCGAATGGCCGCTCCTCCCTCTCAGCCCTGCAGTGCTGCAGTAAAACCACTATCAGTCTGAGCACATGCTTCTCCTTCACTGTCTCCCACATGAGCCATTACCCGCCTATACTTTACACAGTGGACAGAAAACTGAGCGGCCCATATGCGTATACTTTGTACAGTGCTGAGAAAAGTGAGCGGGCCATGTTTGACTGACACACATTTGGTCAGAAGAGTCCAGAGATGAGGGTTCTTGACGAGCGCGTAAGTGGGTGGCTTTACAGCACATTCACGCTTGATGTGAATGACACTGGAGCACAGGCACAGATCTACATAGGTCACGCATGAATGCACTCGAGAGCTGAGCACACAAACACAGATGCTTCTCTGGACCCTTCATAAGTAGGACTATCCATGTTTTCTGTCCATTTTCTCTTTGTTTTAAATCACAAAGTCTATACAAGGTGATTACAGAGACTGGGCTGTCCCATTCATTATTAATGGGGCAGAGAATGAAGGCACACAGGTGCTCTGTCATAGTGTAGTCAGCATTTTAACCTGTGCTGACATTTACAGTTCGTTTTCACCTGAGACAGGAGAAGACTCTTCATACAGATGGTGAGCTGCTAACCGTGGATTTTTTCAGCAGCTTTCATAAAATGCCACACACATGCTGAGCAGGCTATTCCCTGGAGACCAGCACACTGAGATATTAATAACACATAACTGTGTGTGTGCCACATTCACAGAATAAAACTGTGAGAACGTATGTGGTGCGATACTATGTAAGTGTTGCTGTAAGAACAGTGTTATGGTCAGTCTCTCTACTGCTGTATTCAATAGAAAATCTGTTACTAGGAATATTCTACAACCCAACGCTTATCTAAAGTACTTCTACCATAACCACATAGAACAATACTTTATTTTTAATAAAATCAGAGCCAGTCAGAAGCTTGAGTGGATGGAAATTAGATACTGCTAATGTTAGAAAACTCAAGTCAAATAAAATCATTTTATTTTTAGTGTAAGGGCTTACAGATTACTGATGGACCCATTTGTTCTTTGACCTCATCAAATTTAAGACCTGTATCTGTGCATTTTGCAGCCTCTCATATACTACCTAACCAATCAACGAACCAGCCACCCAACTGTAGATGTTAAATAACACTGAGCAAAGGTATAACATATTTTCTGTTAAGTGGGTGAGCCTGCATTTTCACTACAAACCTCTTACGAAAGCAGATCAACCTGAAGTGACTTGAAGACACAGTGCTCTACTTCCCGCGTCAGCTATTATTAATGAATCAGGCTAAACAACAAGTTGCCATGAAGTGCAATGCTTTCATTTGGTTACAATGCTAAAGAAACTGGGGCTGTCCTAATTATAAAGTACACATGCTGTGAACTGAGAAGCACACACACACACACAGCTGTTCCTCTGTCACAGTGAATCTGTGTTTTACACTTTAGAAATGTAGGTAAGACTTGCACTATTAACACTTGTAATTAATCCATTTAGAATCATTTTGGTCAAAGTTTAGCCTATCTCCCTATTTTCTTGTGAAGGTATGAAATCAACATAATTTTATGCTTGACATAAAGTAAAGACGTGAAGATATTTTAGAAATGTATGATTTTATTGAATAGTAAATAATGTCCTCATCTTTTAACGTTATGCAATTAATGCAGTAATTAGATTTCTGCAGGCTTGGTAACTCTACTGACATTAAGTATAAGGTTTCCTTTCAATGTATGTTTTTCAGTATTGAAACTTCATATTAGCTACTAATTTAAAAACTGATTATTATTTGGGTGTCGACTTTTTGGACAGTCTTAGCTGCCCTACACATAAACTCCTCTGCGTCAGTGAACAGCAAACTTAATCAACCATAGCAAAGTGTACACTCTCAGATAAGTATGTTATGCAGGGGTGGGCAGTATTGACAAAACTTTAATATTTTTGGGGATTAGGGTCCCTCACAAAGTCATGTGTGTAATGTGCATTTTCCACATGCAGTGCAGGCTGAGCTAGTTTTGTAGCTTGGGCACAGAGGTTTCATGCAACACATGCATAAAATATTGTTACAAAATCAAAATTGTGACGTAGACTTTAAAAAGATCCTTCGCCCCCCTCATACTCCCTGTGCCCTCTGTTAGTGGTTTTTGGTATACTGCTGATGACTTCGTAGTGATCGTGCTGCCATCACACCCTGCTATTCACAGACATGAGCTGACAAAATGTAAGCCTCATCAAATCACACACGCATCCATCGCTTCTCATTTGGTAAACCAACAGGGGAAAAAATGACTTTCAGTACAAATATATATAGCAGTTCAACCTATAAGCAGAAAGTACATGGAGATTTAGAAATGTAACTGATTTGCAAAATGTGTCAGACGCACAGATTATATATTACACTGGATTTAAATTGCATGTTCATAAGCTCAAGTGACTCAAGGCAGCTTAAGTAAGACGCATACTCTTAATACCACAAGTCGAAAGAAAGAATTATGTAAAACTCCACTGAAGGTCATGTCATGGAGGTGTATAATACATAGCTGTATGTTTTAATGCAAGTGTAATTCTGAAAAAAAAAAAAAGCATGCTGATTAGTTGTGTTACATTGCTGATTTGTCTGTATTTGTGTTTACTGAAAAAGTTAAGTTTTATTCCAGGAAATGCAAGTCAGATGCACACCACAAAAACCTGTTTAAATTTTGAAAACTTAAATTGAATTCAAAATGTATGTGATACCAGGAACTATGTTTGAAGCGTCATGGTTCAAATATCTCAAATCCAAGTAACACATCTGCAGAAGCCCATGTGTACTCAGATGTTCGCTGCATGTAACAGAGCAGTCATATTGCAACTAGGAGAGGTATTCAAC